GCGTCGCGAACTACTCCTTCAGTTTTGAACAATTACGTGATAACTCAAGTATGACTTGATGGAATATCATCAAACTTTGAGTAGGACTTGGCAATTAATAAATTTGATTTTGAGTGACACTGCAATAGCTGGGGGGGGGGGGGGAGGGGGTTATTCCCCCATCCATCAGATGTTCTTCGTTTACGCGATAATTTGAGTATGACTTGATTGATGTCATTAAACTTGGTGAGACGGTCATGTAGGACATGACAAGTAACTCAGGACTCATTTGATTTCCCCACCCCCATCTCGGACCTCGGCCATATATCAATGTGTGGCATGTGTGTATACATGGATTATTTGTTTTACAAAAATGCATAGTCAAATTTATTGTTATTCCTATTTGATTATGCACATATGCAACTTTTTTTCCAGGAGTTCTACTTTTTTTCTTCAGTTTCCAGCATTTATGGAGAAAGTGCACTTAATTGACATTAATTGGCTTTTCATGTACTCTGAAAGATAGCTTAGTCAAATTAATAATAAGTATTGAAATTTCATATGAGTTGATAGTGCAAATATGCAAATTTGTTCAATATAATGCAGTGGGTGAGAGGGCAGAGGCATACCAGTCGACTAGTTCCTATTTAATAACCTAAGATAGTATCGATGATGACAAAGGATTTAGAATGTATTGTTCTTATTTCATACCCAGGGAGGAAGGCCTGCACCACTTTCCTGCAAAGACATCAAATCACCATGGAATGGCAGGCGGTAAGAAATAAGGTGATGAACGAAAGGAATAAAGCAAAGAAAAACTTTGATGACAGAGAGAGGAGCTTCCTAAACTAATAATATTAGTTGGGTCAGATCATATGGTCTGATTAACATCTTTTGTTGCCTTTTTTGGCACAATACATGTACCTTCACCTGTATATTCCAGTAGGTATGTGGCTTCTAAATGAATATTCATGAAAGAGCTTGCACAAGGACTCATCCTCGTTTTGTTTCAGTGTCAAGCCTGGTCCTTTATCTGCACATGCGCAACCTGTAACTTGCTCTAATTTGTGATAGAGCTGAATTGATGAAAGTCTAATATGGTGGGCAAAGAGGTCAGTTGAAACATTGGTGTAATGATGATTAATGAGCCTGAATGAAGTTAGTTTATTTCGGTTTTCCCTGCCATTGACTTAGTGTATGTATTAAAGAAAGTGCTAAATGGTTATATAGTGGACATTTTGTAACCTGGATGTATGCAAGTTAAATGAATATTAAAGGTAATACAAAGTTTTGGGAATATTTCACTAGGGTCGGAGAATAACGTTTAAATTTTCATTATCATTGTAAAACCTTGTGTACGAAAAACCGCCTCTGAATAAATTGGGCTCTAAAACGCTTTGGATTTCGAGATATTCTAATATGAAATTTATCGGTGCTCCCGATAAATTTCAAATAGCGCCTACGGTCATATAACGGTAGCTGCGACCATGAAAATCTCGGAATATGCAGTTCTGATATTAGGTTTCCAAAAGAATAGTCAAGAAACATTGCTTTAAAGCTAAAGTAATATCAATCCGGAGAGGGCGCTATACAACATAAAGAGTTTATTATCTACAATTTCATCACTTTAGACTCGATTACAACAGCGACAACGATCATTGTGTTTTGTTGGATCGTATATATGCTTCCAATATGTACATTTGAACAAAATTCATGACCCCATACCAAAACTTTGTATTACCTTTAAATTTAATTCAGGATCAAATGAAGATGACATGTATCTAATTAATGATGTAATGATGAATACTGCTTTCAGTGCATGATGAAGGTTTGGACATTAGAAATGATTGGTTGCACACTGTACAGTGAAGTGTAGTTATGCAGTCAAACTTCAAGTTCAATTCAAGTTTATTAGAGTGAACTACATATTATTAGACAAAGGGTATTTATAGTACTTGATAATGATGTCAGTTTGAGCACAATCCCTTTTCGAAGTGTTTTTGAAGAGCATCAACTTGATTCCACAAGCACAGATATTACAAAGACACTTAGATGTCATTTTACTATCTAATCTTGCATATATATGGATTGCACGTTTGCATCTAGTTGAACTTTTGTTATTGTTATTCCTGTTATTGGAATATTTTACAGCATTGCCTTTTATATGGTGTACATATTTGGCTACATCAGTGTTCTTTGTGACAAGAGTAAATAATGCTAATTTGCTCATTTAGTGCTATAATAATTACATGTGTTAATGTTTTTATTCATGAGAAATGTAGGAAAAGTATAACGATTACATTCTGACCCACTAGGTTGTAGTGTTGCATAACATTGGGCACTGTCCCTATTCATCCCAGAATAGACATCGAAATATGAAAATGACTACATCGGGATTAATTTCAGAACCGAAGATCTCCACATGTATGTTCTTTCTTTTGCTTTCATTTGTGAGGACCCAGACCAAAAATGAGATGACTTCCTTTACTAGATTCAAAAGATACAGGCAAAGTTTTGACCACATCTTAATTTTACACCTTTTTTGAGAAGCTCTGTTTTCGTTCATGCACGAGTGGTTATTCATTGGTTCATGTCAAGTTAGTCATGGTTGGGTAGAGTATGTATGTTCCAATTATATGTAGAATTTCAAGGTTAAGCATTATTAGTTTTATAAATATTTTAGAAATATAAAACTACTACTGCTACTACTACTACTACTTCTACTACTACTACTACTACTACTACTACTACTACTACTACTACTAGTCTTGTATTACTACAACTACTACTAGTAGTACTACAGTACTACTACTGCTGCTGCCACTGCTGCTACTACTGCTACTACTACTACTGCTACTACTACTACTACTACTACTACTACTACATTGGAACCTCTTTATAACGAGGTCCTTGGGACCATGAAAATTACCTAATGTTATATCAGATTTCTCATTATATCAGTGTAAAAAACCAAAGAAATATAAAGAGCTGGGACCAGCAAAATTATCTCGTTATAAGAGGATTTTGTTATATCCGATATCGTTATAACGAGGTTCCACTGTACTACTACTACTACTGCTACTGCTGCTACTACTACTACCACTACTACTACTACTACTACTACTACTACTACTACCACTACCAAGGAGGTTTACTACCAAAACCACCACCACACTACTTTGTTCTGTCTCTCTCCCCTTCCTCCCTCCCTTTCCCTATTTCCAATTTTCTGTCTCTTTCTTGCCATTTCTTTATTTTCTTGCCTGATGATGTGATACACTGAAATATTTTCTTGTATTGTCTGTGCAATTTAAATTGTTTCTTTAATATTCAATGTGACTATTAATTTAATTTTTTGCATTGAGATCTCTCCCATTTATATAATATATGTATTCTACTTCATGCTTATTTATAATTTTGAGCATGTGCCCAATTTTTATTGCTTGATTTTAGACTTGCTCAATTAATCCATGGTTTACCTTTGTAATAAATTCCTTGCTAATAAAATAACTAAATAGTTCCCGCGTTTTGTTTTTGCTTTTGAATGTGACCTTTTGTGGATGACCAGTTGAAGATGTGAATGCATATTTTGATTGAGTTTGTGTCCATATACACATGTCTGTGAGATTCGTTGTGTCTGGTTCGTTTTGTTTGGCTTGTGCTAAACGGTCGGGTCGCGTTCGGGTTCCTTTTTGAAAGTTAGCATATGGTGTCTTCACATGCAAGATTCTTTTTCCTTTTCATATTTTTCTTATAGTATACAAATCCATTCATATGACATTGATAATGATATTATGATTTATAAAGAGGATAGTTATAATTATGATAATGGGATGAAGATGGTAACAACTGTTGCGCACCTGTTGCGCCCTGGATCCGCCACTGCATGTCATATCGAGTATTAACAAAAACAAAGGACATGTGCGAATATACCTCCACACAAGAAAAAAATGATAAAAAAAACATTAATAATAACATAGACAAAATAATCGATAAACTTGTACTTCAAGGAGACACAAATATGTCTCCATTGAGTGGGTGTTTCCTAGAAGTAATGCATGTCTTCAAAGACCCAGGAAGTTTCCAGTTTGTGGAATTAAATCAAATAACAATAATAATAATGATGATGATAATATTTCTATAGATCTGACATTTGGGAGACATTTTGGTGTTATTATACCTACCTATAGGAGACACCCACATGAAGGAGACATTTTCGTGTTAATAAACAAGAATTTATAACAATGTTAATAGAAATGATAATAATGATAATAGTTATTATAATTATAACGATAATAGTAATTTAATATAGACTAAGCCTATGTGCAATCCTTATAACCCTTTAGGCTTGTATGAAGACTAATAGTATGTTCAAAAATCTATAAAGCAAAACATACATTTTAATTATGTTACATTTATATATATATATACATATATGTGTGCATGCTCAGTATCACTATCATTAGGAGACATGTCTCCCAATAGTATGAGAAAGACAAAATGTCTCCCTTTTGTTGCTCAGATAGTAATGAAACGTAAAGGAGACATAAATTACGACGGTATATCTTTTACCGAAAAAGTGTGTCTTTGAGGGTAAAAAGTAATTAAGTAATTGAAAGACTCTGGTTTGAAGATCTTTTCTGCGAAATAAAAACGAAAGTTTGTATGCTTGTTTTAACTTTATGGTACCATTTTGCTACTGTCTCCAAAATATTGATTTTTATCACATGTCTTCCGTATGTGCAATCCATAGTTATATATATATATATATATATACAAATCAAATGTTTGAAGTGTTACATTGCCAGGTTTAAGACTAATACCGGTAATTGGACAGGTGCACATTGAGAATCAACCTTCTATTATCATCAGAGGATTTTTGAAGATTATCATAAACAGTCTGGTAACATATTTTTTCCCACTTATTCCGAAGTGCCAGATTTTGTGTACATGTTTTGAAATACATTTTTTTAAATGAGATATTTTGATATAGATAGATGGTATTGTGTTTTGTTTCACAGACTGCCTCTGCACTACATAAGTTCCTGAGTGATTCAAAACGAGACTTTGACAAGGCTGAGAATTTAGGACTTCAGGTTCGACGTGCTCATGTGAACACGATATTACTGAGTAAGTTATCTGCTTATATCATGTGTTAGTGTTCATCATCAAAGCAATGTAGAGAGATAAATAGATTACAAAGAGAAGTAGTGAGCTCAAATGCCAAATGGTATCCAGGTCAATTTACTTGAGGAAAAAAATTCAAAATTCTACTGTTGTTATTGAAATATTTAATAGCTGTTGGTCAAACTTAGTACACGCTATATTAATTCGTAATTTGTGTGTAATATTGCAATTATCTCAAATTTGTATGTAATAATGTAGGCCTAATATGTCATTTGTATGTGATAATGTAAGTTGTATGAATGTAATAATGTAAAGCGCATAGTGGATTGTCATTGATGAATATTTTGCGCTTTTTATCAATCACAATTATCATTATTATTATTATACCTTTTTGTATTACGCCACAGGGAGAAGAACTGAAGAAGTATTTAGGTGACATTTTAAAGATCATAGACTCGTTACGGTCCGTCTTGCCCGCTGTTTGTTACCACAATAACTTGAGAACCATTAGAGCAATTCAAACTTAAAGGAAGTATGAATGTATGAATGTTAGTCTCATGGGCTGCTTGTCTCATGGGCTTTGTAGTCTCATTGGCTGTTAGTCTCATGGGCTGTTAGTCTCATGGGCTGTTAGTCTCATTGGCTACTTGTCTCATGGGCTGTTAGTCTCATGGGCTGTTAGTCTCATTGGCTACTTGTCTCATTGGCTACTTGTCTCATGGGCTGTTAGTCTCATGGGCTGTTAGTCTCATTGGCTTTTAGTCTCATTGGCTGTTAGTCTCATGGGCTGTTAGTCTCATTGGCTACTTGTCTCATTGGCTACTTGTCTCATTGGCTACTTGTCTCATGGGCTGTTAGTCTCATGGGCTGTTAGTCTCATTGGCTTTTAGTCTCATTGGCTGTTAGTCTCATGGGCTGTTAGTCTCATTGGCTACTTGTCTCATTGGCTACTTGTCTCATGGGCTGTTAGTCTCATGGGCTGTTAGTCTCATTGGCTTTTAGTCTCATTGGCTGTTAGTCTCATGGGCTGCTTGTCTCATTGGCTGTTAGTCTCATGGGCTGTTAGTCTCATTGGCTGTTAGTCTCATGGACTGCTTGTCTCATGGGCTGCTTGTCTCATGGGCTGCTTGTCTCATGGGCTGTTAGTCTCATGGGCTGTTAGTCTCATGGGCTGTTAGTCTCATTGGCTGCTTGTCTCATGGGCTGTTAGTCTCATGGGCTGTTAGTCTCATGGGCTGTTAGTCTCATGGGCTGTTAGTCTCATTGGCTGCTTGTCTCATGGGCTGTTAGTCTCATGGGCTGTTAGTCTCATTGGCTACTTGTCATATGGGCTGTTAGTCTCATTGGCTGCTTGTCTCATGGGCTGTTAGTCTCATGGGCTGCTTTTCTCATGGTTTGTTTGTTTGTTTGTTTTTATTTCCGAAATCCATATATACATACAAGTTTTAAAAAACATACATATAAAACACATTTCAAACGATAAGAAAGTAAGTAAATGTGTAAAGTATAGACAAACGGTTGGATAGCCCATTTCAGAATCATTTTCAAAATGGTCCTGTTCTTCCATGGGGTCCAAAAGCAAAAATCATATTAATTTACATACAATATCAATTTTTATAAAAATCAAAGTAATTTACCAATACACTACCCCCCACTTCCCCCCCCCTTATCGTTCTCCCTAACCTCACCACCCCCGCCACCCTCTCGATACTGCCAACCCCTCCCTCCACCCCTTTCCAAGTCCTCCAGTGTATCTCTGTCATAACATTTCAAACTAAACTTTGTATTTCTTTATTAAATATAGCCAAACTTCTTGATTGTCGAATGTGCATAGACAATCCATTATACAATTTACTTCCGCGATACAGAAACATACGCTTACAATTCTGTGTTTTCGGTTTAGGCAAAACTAAATTGGTACTTCCAAGGGCATAGTTAGTAGTCTTAACAATGAACTTCTCTTTCAAATATACAGGTGCCAAATCGTGAAATATTTTATACATCAAAGTATAACTGTGCCTAACTTGTCTCTTTTCTAACATTTCCCAATTTAAAATATTATGAATTTCACTGATTGGTTTATGTTCAGATAATTTATATTTAAGAATAATTCTACCTGCCCTGTTCTGTAATTTTTGTAACACGTCTACTTGAGACTTAGTGCCCGAATGCCATAACACGTCACCATAATCAAAATGTGGCATTATTGCGGCATTATATACAAGTTTTAACCCAGTCTCATTAACATAGTTACGCAACTTTCCTAAGAAACTAATCATTTTTCCAACCTTTTTACATAATTCATCGGTGTGTACATTCCATTTTAATTCACAATCAATAAAAATACCTAGATATTTAAATTTGTCACTTGAACAATATCATTATCATTAATTTTTAAGTTCAACCTACTGTTTCTGTTCAACATATATTTAGTGCCTATCAGCATACTAACAGTCTTAGTACAATTTATTTTCAACTTATTACAATTGATCCAAGAATATAACTTATGCAATTCAATATTCAAAACATTTTCAATATTACAAGGGTCTTTATCTGAATAATATATAACGGTGTCATCTGCATAAAGGTGAACCGAACATTTTTCAAAACAGGAGGGCATATCATTAATAAATATAAGAAATAGTATGGGGCCAAGAATAGATCCCTGGGGTACCCCGTGTGTAAGGGGTAGTTCTGACGACAGCGTATTATTAATCGAAGTTATTATGCGTCTACCATTTAAATAGCTTCTAAACCAATTCAAAGATGAACCCTGTAGACCAACGCCAGAGGTTAATTTTGCCAGAAGAATTCCGTGGTCTACTAAGTCGAAAGCCTTTTGAAGATCCACAAAAACAGTGCCTGTGTACATCCCTTTGTCCAGTGACATGAGCCAATCATCCGTAACTTTTATAAGTGTAGTGGTCGTCGAATGATTAGACCTAAACCCTGATTGTTGTTTGGCCAACAAATTATTGTTCGACAAGAAACGGGTGAGTTGCCGCTGCACAACTCTTTCTAAAAGCTTCGACACACAAGGTAAAAGAGAAATCGGTCTATAATGATCAGGATTAGCTTTATCTCCCTTCTTAAATAATGGAATTATCTTGCCTATTTTCCACCTAGTTGGAACCACACCTTCACTAATTGACCTATTTATTAGGTATGTGATGCTCCGAACGATTTCGGGCCCACACAGTTTCAAAACAAAGGTACTAATCCCGTCAACACCAGTAGACTTCTTATTTTTCAAAGCAAAAATTTCTTTAAGAACATCAGCTATATCAACAGGGGATAATTCAAAAGAATTCTCATAGCATACAGGCCTTTCTTCTAAAATAGGAACATATTCATTTGTACATATACTAGCAGCTACATTGGCAAAGTGTTTATTAAATTCGTTTGCAATTTTATCATTTTTACTATTCATACTATTAAAAGAATCTGTCGATTTATTAGGCAATAATAACTTTAAAATTTCCCAAGAATTTTTACGACTATGGCAGTCACGTATTTTATCAGAATAATATAGTTTCTTTGCTTTTTTAATTTCATATGTAACTGTATTCCTCATCTTTCTATAACTTTTCCAATCATCTTCATTTCTAGTTACTTTTGCTTTCTTCTTCATTTTATCACGTTGTTTCATCAAATCAAAAATAGAATCATTAAGCCATGGAGAGTGTTTTTGCTTCACCCTTTTAGTCTTAATTGGCATATGTTTATCTACAATACGCATTGCACATTTTTCCCATTTATCGACAGCTTCATCAATAGTATGACTAGTTTCTACCTCTGTCCAATTCTGTAATCTGATATCGGTTTTAAATGAATCAAGATTAACACCTCTTGATTTCCGAAAAGTGATTAACTTTGCATGAGTGCATGTGTTGTTTGAATTCTGAACCTTCCAAGATAAAAAACTCAACGAGTGATCGCTGAAACCAATATCTATAACACCCCAAGAATCTACATTTTCTGGCTGATTGCACAACATGTGATCAAGAAGAGAGCTTGAATCTGACGTAACACGTGTACATTCCATAGTATTAATTTGATGCAGGTCATGTATATCATTTAATTGACAATATTTTTTACATTCAGAACTTAGAGGCTCATGTAAAATATTCAAATTTATATCACCCATCAAAACAACAGATGAACGATTTTCTTCTAAAAAAGTAAGCATATCTTCATAAGTTGATAAGACTTCACATTTTGAATTTGGAGGTCTATACCAATTACAAAACAAAAGGGGTTTACATTTCTTTAATTCAATAAACAAAATGGCAACTTCTAAATCTTTACTAGAGTCATGCAACACCTGCTTATAAGTAATACTTTCGTGGACATAAATTGCAAATCCACCTCCTTGCCTGTTACGGTCTTTACGGATCAAATTGTAATGAGATATTTTAATTTCTGTATCCTGAATACTGTCGTCCAATCTCGTTTCATTGAGAGCAAAAACATGAATATTATTTTTGCATAATATTGATTCAATTTCCTCAAAATGTTTTAATAGGCTTACGACATTCAATTGCGCACAATTAAAACCATTTTTATTTAACTGACCATATTCAAACGATTTATTTTTATACTTCTGTTGTTGTTTTTGAGTTGTTACTGTATCTTCATTTTGTATCGCCACATTATAAAAGGGCAACTGTTCCATCGTACATTTTTGACATTCCCAACCACAAAACTGTTCTAATGTATTTTCATACCGTTCATTTGACACACCACAACATAATATGTGTACCCATTTGTTGCACTTTGTACATTTGAGGCCTTTCTGGTTTACCATAACCGACTTACTACATAAAACACATGGAAATTTCCTAACCATCCTACTAAATTACAATAACAATAACAACAACACCAAAAATAACAACAATGTTCATGTAAGTCCGTCAAGTTCGCGTATCAATAATAAGACGGGCTTCCCTTGATAAGTCATTTTCATAATTTCCTGGCTTCTTCTATTGATGAAACTAGTTTTTTAATGTTCGTTCCAGAGTTGGATGCGAGTGTGACAAATATGCGCCCATCCTGCGACCATGCCGCCGTGACATTCGAAGACGATCTGGTTTGTTTGAGTATATCATAATTCGGTTTCGTAAGGTCTTCATTGATCGAAATACCTGTATTTTTGAGACGTCGTCGAGATTTCAGTATAGATTGGCATACGCGGTAGGACGCCAATTTGATGATTATCGGTCTACCGCGGTTGTCTTGTCTGCGGCCGGACTCGGACACCTTGGACGCCCATGATGTGGAAGCCGTAGACGTCGACGATGTCGATGATGATGTGGTTGTCGAGGACGGCTGTTTCTGCGATGATGTTTGTGTAGAATGACGAATGTTGGCGTTGTTTTGATCTTTCCGGGGGGCCCCGATTCGATGGCTCCTCTCGATGTCTTCGATGCGGAGGTTGATGCCCAGCTTCTCCTTCGCTAATTGCAACATTATTTCGTCTGTGTTTTCTTCCCTTGATTCAGGCACACCAAATACCCTCAAGCAGCTTCTCCTCGAGTACTGCTCAGCCTCATTTGATTTGTTTTGGAGAATGGTAATCGATTCTCTCTGCTTTTCCAAACTTTTCTCCAATTTCTTAATTTTGGCAACTTTGGCGTCTTCTTTGATCTCGAGTGAAAGAATTTTCGCTTCATTCCGCTCTACCTGCTCCGTCAGTCTCGTAATCGACTCCTTTACTTCTTTCAACTCCTCTCTCATTGTAGATCTGACTGCATCCTTGATTAATTGAGTAAACTGATCACTCTCCAGCATTTCTTTAATAGTCAAGGATTTCTCAGTGACCGACTCAATGTCGATTGATGGAGTCTGTTTTTGATTTCTCGTTGACATGGTTTGTTTGCTGCGGGCCATTTATAACTATAAACCAGTGTTTAATGTTCACTTGTGTTTACAAAATAGAGTAGTCAAGCATATACACAAGTTCAATGTCTCACCTAGTTTGTATCTTTAACATTCTTCAGAGTCACCCAGTCGGAAATCAATTAGCGAGTATACGGGCGATGAATACACCAACTTTCCCGCCAATCGCGACCCGGGGGGTGGAAGCACCGAAAAATATCATGACCATCGTAATATATGCTGGCATTTTCTACCTTAAATTCACGAGTTGTAATCAAGTCCTCATCGTCCAAATTGTCCAGGGAAGCCCAACTGTCGTAATATCACGCTGAATCTTACATTCTAGTACCAAAATGACTTCAAAATCAGCAGAAAGTCCAAGTTTGAAGTTTGAAGTTTCATGGGCTGTTGGTCTCATGGGCTGCTTGTCTCATGGGCTGCTTGTCTCATGGGCTGCTTGTCTCATTGGCTGTTAGTCTCATTGGCTGTTAGTCTCATGGGCTGTTAGTCTCATTGGCTGTTAGTCTCATGTGCTGTTAGTCTCATTGGCTGTTAGTCTCATGGGTTGCTTGTCTCATGGGCTGCTTGTCTCATTGGCTGTTAGTCTCATGGGTTGCTTGTCTCATGGGCTGCTTGTCTCATGGGTTGCTTGTCTCATGGGCTGCTTGTCTTATTGGCTACTTGTCTCATGAGCTGTTAGTCTCATTGTCTTTTAGTCTCATTGGCTGTTAGTCTCATGGGCTGCTTGTCTCATTGGCTGTTAGTCTCATGGGCTGTTAGTCTCATTGGCTGTTAGTCTCATGGGTTGCTTGTCTCATTGGCTACTTGTCATATGGGCTGTTAGTCTCATTGGCTGCTTGTCTCATGGGCTGTTAGTCCCATGGGCTGCTTGTCTCATGGGCTGTTGGTCTCATGAGCTGCAGGTCTCATGGGCTATCTGTCCGTTGTGCTGTTGGTGTCAAGGGCTGCCGATCTCATTGCTGGTCTAGTTGGCTGCTGGTCTCATTGGTTGTTGGTTTAGTTGGCTTTTTGGTTTAATGGGTATTCAGTCTCGTGGGCTGAAGCCATCACAAGTAAAGTTATCAGATGATATTGCCATGCCACATGTAGTGGTTGAACCCACAATCTTTACCTGTCTAGTCAGGTTGTCAACTTATTCCTCTTTCACACCTTCATACCATAGAGTGGGGCAATTATTTTAAACTCACTATCATTGTGTGTTCTCTTCCTAGGAGATGCAAAGTTATTGGATTTGTGGAAAGCTATGATTCCCACCAAGGTATGCACCAGCTACAAGTCCTATTTAATGCTATATTTGTTTAACTGAAATGGGTTCAGATGATCGGATTGCAGATGTGGCTCCAGTATAGATCGGTATCGGATTGGAAAATCTGGAGTAAAATTTAAGCCCACTTTTGCTGGCACACGTTTTCTATTTCCACTGCCATTCGAACTTAAAGTCATTTTTCTTTAATTGGTAATTCAAATTTGTTGTCTAATTTTTTTGTAAAATAAGAAGGAATATAGGGCCCTGAATCAACAAAGAAGTACACCTTCACTAAACCGTAAAGTGTATATGTAGTTGACAACTAGGTAATTGTTTCCTCAGAAAATCCTGAGATCACTGCCAACTGTGAAGGAAACTATCAAAGGAAATTGCTTTTATGAACTGAAAATGCTTTTAGTAGCTGTCATTGTGTGCCTTCTCTCTATATGAGCCACATATATTGTCAATTTTATTTTCCTGCTTGGATTCATTTAGAGTGGACAACGAGTTCAACAAGTTCAACATCGAAACATTTGCAGGGTGAGCTTTGGGTCTCCCTCAGTACAACAAGAAGTACAGGTATATTAAAGAGATCAATCTTTGCAACATTCCTCTTGTGTCTAGAGACAAAAATGTAGAAATGTAGATGTAGAAATGCATAAAGTTTTAATTTTTGCATAATTAGGCTATAATTATTTAAAGAATGCATATACACTATCTTGTTCCTTATGTGAATACATATAGAGATGCACATTTGCATATTCATCTGACATTTTGTGGCTGAGACCATGTGGGAGGGTGGGTGGCTGTTAACTGTACCTCTGCTGTCCATCTATTTATTTATATTCAGTTTATTGATAGTCATTTGTGTATTATTATTTGGTTGTTTATTCTTATTTGGTTGTTTATTCATATTAAGTTATATATTCATATTTAGCACTGTCCATTGGTAATGCCTAGGTCATATTAAAAGGGCGACGAGTTCACGATTAGTTCAGGGCTTGTTTTTTTGGCCCTTTTGGGCCTGTGGCCCTAGAGTGACCAAAGGTCTGCCCAGCCTTTTTTTGCTAATCGGGAACACGCCCAGCAAGTTATAAGTTTAAACCAACTTAAAACCAAACTCGACGTCAAGCATTTTTTAATCGTCTGAGTGTAATCGGCACACATAGTCCGATTTGTCGTCAGGCAGCCTGCCGATTCCTGCTGGCCACCCAAACAGGCATTGCCCAGTGCCTGGCAGGTCATCAGCCAGGCTCCCTCGTATCTCCCTCGGGGTCCTGCAGGTGTACGGTAGGGCCCCTGCCTGCTTGTCCGGGATATATAAAGAGCCTTTTCCTTTTCCATCTCATTTCACATACCTCCACGAGTCCAAGAGAGGAGAAATGGCACCCGTACCTCTGGAATGCTTTGAGAGTTACTGTGCTATGGGTGCGACTGGCTATGGCACGGTACACCAGGGGCGCGGCAAAGTGTTTTCCAAATTGGGGGGCACCAACAAAAAATGCCACTTCCTGGAGAAAAAAAGGGCACCCTCGAAGTGAAAACATATGCCATTTTTAGACATTGGTATATATATATATATATATACCCCTATATTGTCATGATTGTGATTACATTATCAGGGATGAGATCAATATTTGTTTTTCTCTTTACATGGTTCAAGATGCTGCTTAAGCATCATAGTTTGCAGTTGGGTATGATGGTCTGGATATAAATTCGCGAGTGAGAAAAGTGAGCGAACACAAATTTAAAGATTTGTGAGGTCGCAGTGGGAAAAATTACATTTACATTATATATTTCATTATAAAGAGGAAAAAACCGAAAAAGAGATTTTTGCTTGATCAAAACATGAAAGACTGAAAAGACCTTTTGTATAATTACATCAATTATCCATGCAATTGAGCTTTGGGGGAAATTAAAGAAAAGGGGCTCTCAGTTGCTTTAAATTAGGGGCGCATGTTATAGCAAAAGAAAAAGGGGGACTTATCAGAAGGGAAAAGGATACTTATAAGAAAAGAAATGATATACATGTGTGTATCAAATTCCCCTTTCAAAGTGCGCTCCCTATGAATGGGTTTGGGAGAAAAACGAGAGAAAGACACCAATGAAAATGGTCAAAGGTTGTTAAACCTGTCCCAGCTAAAGCGAGTGTACGCATACTTTTTCATAACCCGGGTAGCAGCTAGCTGTGTTTGTTGATGTTTTGTTGCTACATGAGCTTGAACATGTTGCTAGCTAGATGGGGTGGGGGCTTAAATTTATTTGTTTTATTTGTATTTGAATAAGCTTTGTAATTAATCCAATTTTAATTTATATCGTTATGATAATATATTTATTGAAAATCACATATTTATTAGACAAAATGGTGAACAAAACAATATTTTGTTAAAGTATAGTATAGATCGGTATCGGATTGGAAAATCTGGAGTAAAATTTAAGCCCACTTTTGCTGGCACACGTTTTCTATTTCCACTGCCATTCGAACTTAAAGTCATTTTTCTTTAATTGGTAATTCAAATTTGTTGTCTAATTTTTTTGTAAAATAAGAAGGAATATAGGGCCCTGAATCAACAAAGAAGTACACCTTCACTAAACCGTAAAGTGTATAATGTAGTTGACAACTAGGCAATTGTTTCCTCAGAAAATCCTGAGATCACTGCCAACTGTGAAGGAAACTATCAAAGGAAATTGCTTTTATGAACTGAAAATGCTTTTAGTAGCTGTCATTGTGTGCCTTCTCTCTATATGAGCCACATATATTGTAAATTTTATTTTCCTGCTTGGATTCATTTAGAGTGGACAGCTTCATCAACGAGTTGGTCGAATCAGTTGCCCGAGGGGCTTGCGGTCTCGCTCAGTACAACAAGAAGTACAGCAAGAAGTACAGGTATATTAAAGAGATCAATCTTTGCAACATTCCTCTTGTGTCTAGAGACAAAAATGTAGAAATGTAGATGTAGAAATGCATAAAGTTTTAATTTTTGCATAATTAGGCTATAATTATTTAAAGAATGCATATACACTATCTTGTTCCTTATGTGAATACATATAGAGATGCACATTTGCATATTCATCTGACATTTTGTGGCTGAGACCATGGGGGAGGGTGGGTGGCTGTTAACTGTACCTCTGCTGTCCATCTATTTATTTATATTCAGTTTATTGATAGTCATTTGTGTATTATTATTTGGTTGTTTATTCTTATTTGGTTGTTTATTCATATTAAGTTATATATTCATATTTAGCACTGTCCATTGGTAATGCCTAGGTCATATTAAAAGGGCGACGAGTTCACGATTAGTTCAGGGCTTGTTTTTTGGCCCTTTTGGGCCTGTGGCCCTAGAGTGACCAAAGGTCTGCCCAGCCTTTTTTTGCTAATCGGGAACACGCCCAGCAAGTTATAAGTTTAAACCAACTTAAAACCAAACTCGACGTCAAGCATTTTTTAATCGTCTGAGTGTAATCGGCCAGTGCCTGGCAGGTCATCAGCCAGGCTCCCTCGTATCTCCCTCGGGGTCCTGCAGGTGTACGGTAGGGCCCCTGCCTGCTTGTCCGGGATATATAAAGAGCCTTTTCCTTTTCCATCTCATTTCACATACCTCCACGAGTCCAAGAGAGGAGAAATGGCACTCGTACCTCTGGAATGCTTTGAGAGTTACTGTGCTATGGGTGCGACTGGCTATGGCACGGTACACCAGGGGCGCGGCAAAGTGTTTTCCAAATTGGGGGGCACCAACAAAAAATGCCACTTCCTGGAGAAAAAAAGGGCACCCTCGAAGTGAAAACGTATGCCATTTTTAGACATTGGTATATATATATATATATATATACCCCTATATTGTCATGATTGTGATTACATTATCAGGGATGAGATCAATATTTGTTTTTCTCTTTACATGGTACAAGATGCTGCTTAAGCATCATAGTTTGCAGTTGGGTATGATGGTCTGGATATAAATTCGCGAGTGAGAAAAGTGAGCGAACACAAACTTAAAGATTTGTGAGGTCGCAGTGGGAAAAATTACATTTACATTATATATTTCATTATAAAGAGGAAAAAACCGAAAAAGAGATTTTTGCTTGATCAAAACATGAAAGACTGAAAAGACCTTTTGTATAATTACATCAATTATCCATGCAATTGAGCTTTGGGGAAATTAAAGAAAAGGGGCTCTCAGTTGCTTTAAATTAGGGGCGCATGTTATAGCAAAAGAAAAAGGGGGACTTATCAGAAGGGAAAAGGATACTTATAAGAAAAGAAATGATATACATGTGTGTATCAAATTCCCCTTTCAAAGTGCGCTCCCTATGAATGGGTTTGGGAGAAAAACGAGAGAAAGACACCAATGAAAATGGTCAAAGGTTGTTAAACCTGTCCCAGCTAAAGCGAGTGTACGCATACTTTTTCATAACCCGGGTAGCAGCTAGCTGTGTTTGTTGATGTTTTGTTGCTACATGAGCTTGAACATGTTGCTAGCTAGATGGGGTGGGGGCTTAAATTTATTCGTTTTATTTGTATTTGAATAAGCTTTGTAAATAATCCAATTTTAATTTATATCGTTATGATAATATATTTATTGAAAATCACATATTTATTAGACAAAATGGTGAACAAAACAATATTTTGTTATAGTATAGTATAGATCGGTATCGGATTGGAAAATCTGGAGTAAAATTTAAGCCCACTTTTGCTGGCACACGTTTTCTATTTCCACTGCCATTCGAACTTAAAGTCATTTTTCTTTAATTGGTAATTCAAATTTGTTGTCTAATTTTTTTGTAAAATAAGAAGGAATATAGGGCCCTGAATCAACAAAGAAGTACACCTTCACTAAACCGTAAAGTGTATAATGTAGTTGACAACTAGGCAATTGTTTCCTCAGAAAATCCTGAGATCACTGCCAACTGTGAAGGAAACTATCAAAGGAAATTGCTTTTATGAACTGAAAATGCTTTTAGTAGCTGTCATTGTGTGCCTTCTCTCTATATGAGCCACATATATTGTAAATTTTATTTTCCTGCTTGGATTCATTTAGAGTGGACAGCTTCATCAACGAGTTGGTCGAATCAGTTGCCCGAGGGGCTTGCGGTCTGGCTCAGTACAACAAGAAGTACAGCAAGAAGTACAGGTATATTAAAGAGATCAATCTTTGCAACATTCCTCTTGTGTCTAGAGACAAAAATGTAGAAATGTAGATGTAGAAATGCATAAAGTTTTAATTTTTGCATAATTAGGCTATAATTATTTAAAGAATGCATATACACTATCTTGTTCCTTATGTGAATACATATAGAGATGCACATTTGCATATTCATCTGACATTTTGTGGCTGAGACCATGTGGGAGGGTGGGTGGCTGTTAACTGTACCTCTGCTGTCCATCTATTTATTTATATTCAGTTTATTGATAGTCATTTGTGTATTATTATTTGGTTGTTTATTCTTATTTGGTTGTTTATTCATATTAAGTTATATATTCATATTTAGCACTGTCCATTGGTAATGCCTAGGTCATATTAAAAGGGCGACGAGTTCACGATTAGTTCAGGGCTTGTTTTTTGGCCCTTTTGGGCCTGTGGCCCTAGAGTGACCAAAGGTCTGCCCAGCCTTTTTTTGCTAATCGGGAACACGCCCAGCAAGTTATAAGTTTAAACCAACTTAAAACCAAACTCGACGTCAAGCATTTTTTAATCGTCTGAGTGTAATCGGCCAGTGCCTGGCAGGTCATCAGCCAGGCTCCCTCGTATCTCCCTCGGGGTCCTGCAGGTGTACGGTAGGGCCCCTGCCTGCTTGTCCGGGATATATAAAGAGCCTTTTCCTTTTCCATCTCATTTCACATACCTCCACGAGTCCAAGAGAGGAGAAATGGCACTCGTACCTCTGGAATGCTTTGAGAGTTACTGTGCTATGGGTGCGACTGGCTATGGCACGGTACACCAGGGGCGCGGCAAAGTGTTTTCCAAATTGGGGGGCACCAACAAAAAATGCCACTTCCTGGAGAAAAAAAGGGCACCCTCGAAGTGAAAACATATGCCATTTTTAGACATTGGTATATATATATATATATATACCCCTATATTGTCATGATTGTGATTACATTATCAGGGATGAGATCAATATTTGTTTTTCTCTTTACATGGTTCAAGATGCTGCTTAAGCATCATAGTTTGCAGTTGGGTATGATGGTCTGGATATAAATTCGCGAGTGAGAAAAGTGAGCGAACACAAATTTAAAGATTTGTGAGGTCGCAGTGGGAAAAATTACATTTACATTATATATTTCATTATAAAGAGGAAAAAACCGAAAAAGAGTTTTTTGCTTGATCAAAACATGAAAGACTGAAAAGACCTTTTGTATAATTACATCAATTATCCATGCAATTGAGCTTTGGGGGAAATTAAAGAAAAGGGGCTCTCAGTTGCTTTAAATTAGGGGCGCATGATATAGCAAAAGAAAAAGGGGGACTTATCAGAAGGGAAAAGGATACTTATAAGAAAAGAAATGATATACATATGTGTGTATCAAATTCCCCTTTCAAAGTGCGCTCCCTATGAATGGGTTTGGGAGAAAAACGAGAGAAAGACACCAATGAAAATGGTCAAAGGTTGTTAAACCTGTCCCAGCTAAAGCGAGTGTACGCATACTTTTTCAGAACCCGGGTAGCAGCTAGCTGTGTTTGTTGATGTTTTGTTGCTACATGAGCTTGAACATGCTGCTAGCTAGATGGGGTGGGGGCTTAAATTTATTCGTTTTATTTGTATTTGAATAAGCTTTGTAAATAATCCAATTTTAATTTATATCGTTATGATAATATATTTATTGAAAATCACATATTTATTAGACCAAATGGTGAACAAAACAATATTTAAACTGATCACTCAATGCATTGTCTGCCAAATCCAAAATCAAAGTGTGCGCCAGCAGCTAACAATCGATTATCATTAAACAATAATTCTTCACTTCCGGCCGGGGCTCGCCACAGTGAGTGAATTTCACCGGCAGTATGAATGGCACATGGGGGAAAGCTGCGGTTTCACCTTTGTTTACAACAAATTTTATCGGTATTTCATCAGTGTGACTCCCTCTGGAGCGCCGCCTCTGCGGTAGATGCTTGTGTGACTTGTGTGATATTTTGAGCTGTAGGGATGAAAGTTGTACAAACAAGGGGCATGGACATCAACACCCTATGATGAGCGGCCAATTACCCTAGGAGGCTCAGCAGACATCGTTTATGTCTGCCTGATGTTCGCTCGATGGGTGCATACTTTTTGGTGATTGGCGGGACATCGGAAGTTTGTCAGCCAATCACCATCCAATGTTTAGACCGCATGTCTGCCATTTATCTTGGGGTTACCTGACGCGCCCCCTATAGGCAATGGATGGCGCCAATTCATGTCAAATCCGTCGCCTGATTTCTCCCGGACCACTACACATGTGGTTTAAATGTGACGTAGGCATTAATTATGTTGTATGCTTTAAGAGCCCAAATATTGTCTTGTTATTAACAACTGTGTGATTCATTCTTTGTTCTGTTCTGATTAAACCACCAGAAATCAACATCAAGGTTAATATCTAGATTAGAGAAGCTTAGTGAAGTCACGAGACGAGGACAACTTGCTCTAAATGAATTTGCTACTGCTTCTCCTCCTCCTCCTGCTCGTGCTCCTCCTCCTCGAACAGGATTTGCTGACCTTCCTCCACCCCCACTTCCATTAAAAAGATCTGCTCCACCACCCCCACGCTCACCGAGACTTCTTGGCTTTCAACCCATGACTGAATCTTTAGAAACAGGATTTCTTGCTGGTGGTGCTCCTCCTCCTCCCCCTGGTGCTGCTGCTCCTGGTGATTTTTTTGAAAGACATAGTAACCTCCCTCCACCCCCACCCCACCCACTAACTCCATTAGGGGCATCTGCTCCACCACCCCCTCCAGGCTTGGGATATGTTGAGCCTCCACCAATACATCCACACTCTATAACAGGGATGATTCGAAACAAATTAGGAGGTGCTCCCACACCTTTTCCAGCCTGTGCTCCTCAACCACAAAGGAGTGTTCCTCAATCACTGAGGAGTGTTCCTCAACCACAAATGAGTGCTCCTCAACCACAAAGGAGTGTTCCTCAATCACTGAGGAGTGTTCCTCAATCACTGAGGAGTGTTCCTCAACCACAAATGAGTGCTCCTCAACCACAAATGAGTGCTCCTCAACCACAAAGGAGTGTTCCTCAATTCCAACAACAGTCCTATGCTTCTGATTCCATAACGCCTACTTCAGCATTCTTGTCAGAGGTACATGGACTAGATGAGTCTCCACCCCCACAAAGAATCGCCCAGTTATTCAAATGCTCAAAGAAAAGATCCTTTGGCAGGAAATCTGCCTATTCACCGATGTCTGTACAAGCAGATTCTGTGAAAGCTCTAGATTATTCACCCCCCTCCCCTTCATATTCCCCTACTTCCCCTTCATATTCTCCTACTTCCCCATCAAGCTCCCCACTTCCATCTGCAGATGTTAACCAACAGACCATACATCCACTATCAGAGATTACAAGAGCTTCTCATGAAGAGCAGATGTCTGCGTTCATGACATGCAGTGAAAAGGCAGCTGACACATCAGGTTGGGATACTTTGTCTTCAGCTGGTGAACCAGAATACCAATGGAAGCAAGTTAGTAACAGAATAAAAAATATTCTTCCTCATAGTACAGACTTTAAGACATCTGAAGAAGTAGAATTTTGTGGGCTTGGAATTGATATTGATGATGACTTTGTGGAAGAGAGAAGTGGTGAGGATAGAGGTGTCAGTGTGCTAACTAGAAATAATGAGGATACGGACGGACATGAAATCTTTGTACGAGAGGATGTTGATTCATCAACAAGTAAGGAATTTGGAAAAACTGTACCCAAGGTTCAAGAAAGTGAAAGATGGTCTCCTAGTAGAAAAAGCTTTGAACTAGAATCCAAAGGTTGTGGAATGCTACAAAGTTTTCTATCTAATAAGTTCATTGGCTCTGGTTCATTTGTTGCCCTGGGTAACAAAGCTCAAGCTGTTAGTCAACATTCCAGTCTCAGGGAATTCAAACATCCTCCAGGTATGCAATGTGAATCTGCGCAACGATCGGGTAAACTCTATGGGCAAACTCAAAGTACGCTAGTTGGACCTGAAACACAACCAGACACTTTGGGATTTAATGATAACCCTGCACAAACTGATAATTGGTTTAGACAGTCTCAAAATATTTCTGATGGACTTGCACACCAATCATATAATGTATCAGCACAATATCCAGATCGCCAAGCCAGCAATGCTCTCTTTGATCTTCAAACAGAAAGTGAGCATGGATTTCCTGTAGTCCATTGTTCTAGTGAGCAATCTTCATGTAGTACTAGAAGTAGAGGAATACCAGCTAACAACTTGCCCTTCCAAATGTCAGGAGGACTGTTTGGTAAACATCAGCATTCAAGGGGGCTGTTTGGATCCTCTCAACAATCTGACAGTGTGTTGTCAAGGAAATCTGAATCAGTTCAGCAGACTTCTGATGTAGGAAATGTAGTGAGATCCACAATGTCCTCCTCAGTTGTTGAAGAATTTGGCATACCAAGAGAACAACAGAGGTTCGGTTTTTATACCACTGTACAAACACGTAGTGATGTCTTTGGAGCATCGCAGGGTTTTGGTGGTCTCTCAGGTTCTAATGCTCAAACACATAGCGATGTCCCAGGAGCATCAACAGCGTTTGGTTTAGATGGTTTCTCAGGTGCTTATGCTCAAACACATAGTGATGTTCCTGCAACATCACAGGGTTTAAATTTCGGTCGTCAGTCTGGTGCAGATGCTCGAACACATAGTGATGTCCCAGGGGCATCACAGGGGTTTGGTTTCGGTCGTCAGTCTAGCGCAGATGCTCGAACACATAGTGATGTCCCAGGAGCATCACAGGGGTTTGGTTTCGGTGGTCAGTCTGGTGCTAATGCTCAAACACATAGTGATGTCCCAGGAGCATCACAGGGGTTTGGTTTCGGTGGTCAGTCTGGTGTAGATGCTCAAACACATAGTGATGTCCCAGGAGCATCACAGGGGTTAGGTTTCGGCGGTCAGTCACAGGGGTTTGGTTTCGGTGGTCAGTCTGGTGCTAGTGCTCAAACACATAGTGATGTCCCAGGAGCATCACAGGGGTTTGGTTTCGGTCGTCAGTCTAGCGCAGATGCTCGAACACATAGTGATGTCCCAGGAGCATCACAGGGGTTCGGTTTCGGTGGTCAGTCTGGTGCAGATGCTCGAACACATAGTGATGTCCCAGGAGCATCACAGGGGTTTGGTTTCGGTGGTCAGTCTGGTGCTAATGCTCGAACACATAGCGATGTCCCAGAAGCATCGCAGGGATTCGGTTTCGGTGGTCAGTCTGGTGCTAGTGCTCAAACACATAGTGATGTCCCAGGAGTATCACAGCGGTTCGGTTTCGGTGGTCAGTCTGGTGCTAATGCTCAAACACATAGTGATGTCCCAGGAGCATCACAGGGGTTTGGTTTCGGTGGTCAGTCTAGTGCAGATGCTCAAACACATAGTGATGTCCCAGGAGCATCACAGGGGTTTGGTTTCGGTGGTCAGTCTGGTGCAGATGCTCAAACACATAGTGATGTCCCAGGAGCATCACAGGGGTTTGGTTTCGGCGGTCAGCCACAGGGGTTTGGTTTCGGTGGTCAGTCTGGTGCTAATGCTCAAACACATAGTGATGTCCCAGGAGCATCACAGGGGTTCGGTTTCGGTGGTCAGTCTAGTGCAGATGCTCAAACACATAGTGATGTCCCAGGAGCATTACAGGGGTTTGGTTTCGGTGGTCAGTCTGGTGCAGATGCTCGAACACATAGTGATGTCCAAGGAACTTCGCAGGGGTTTGGTTTTGGTGGTCAGTCACAGGGGTTCGGTTTTGGTGGTCAGTCTGGTGCTAATGCTCAAACACATAGTGATGTCCCAGGAGCATCACAGGGGTTCAGTTTCGGTGGTCAGTCTGGTGCAGATGCTCGAACACATAGTGATGTCCCAGGAGCATCACAGGGGTTTGGTTTCGGTGGTCAGTCACAGGGGTTCAGTTTCGGTGGTCAGTCTGGTGCAGATGCTCAAACACATAGTGATGTCCCAGGAGCATCACAGGGGTTCAGTTTCGGTGGTCAGTCTGGTGCAGATGCTCGAACACATAGTGATGTCCCAGGAGCATCACAGGGGTTTGGTTTCGGTGGTCAGTCTGGTGCAGATGATCAAACAGATAGTAATGTCCCAGGAGCATCAACAGCGTTTAGTTTTGGTGGTCAGTCACAGGGGTTTGGTTTCGGTGGTCAGTCTGGTACAGATGATCAAACAGATAGTGATGTCCAAGGAGCATCAACAGCGTTTAGTTTTGGTGGTCAGTCACAGGGCTTTGGCTTCGGTGGTCAGTCTGGCTCTGGTGCTAAAGCTCAAACACATAGCAATGTCCAAAGAGCATCAACGGCGTTTAGTTTTGGTAGTCAGTCTGGTACAGATACTCAGACATATAGCAATGACCCGGGAGTGTTACAGGGGTTAAGATTTGGAGGTCACTCACTCGTCAATGCTCAGACACACACTGATGATTCCTTTGAAGAAGAGAGGTTACAGTTCAAGCACTCAAGCAGTTCTTTGAAGTCTACTCCCAACCAAGACAAAGATGATTTACATTCAGATGAACTATCTGTAGCTAAAGTAAGTGTGGATTCAAAAATGAATGCATGATGAATATTATTATTTGCTCTAGAGTCGTTTTGATGCCTATAACATCTTAATCTTATTTTTTTGGTTTAAACAATTATCAGACCATAAGCTTTCAGTGTTTTGAAAACCTCTTTCAAAACCATGCTTTGTAGGCTACCATAAATACATTTCTGACCTGATAATTCTTTGATGAAATAATGAAAAATCAGAAATGTCTCCTTTAAAAGTTGAATTTGCCTTTAATTTAATTGTTTGTTCAAATTCTTGAGATCCGGATATAATGTTTTCTGTTTTTTGAAAGTTTTTTTTTAACTTTGATGAAATCAGACTAAGTCATATAGCTCTTCTTCTGAGGTTAGATTACCTCTTTTGAATACCATGCAATCTTGTAGTTGCCAAAATGTTGTAAGAAAGTAATATCACTTGTGGTAGGAATTTAAATTTACTTCAAGAATGGTTTAAAAATCAAAAACATTTTGTGTGTGATCATGATGTAAAAGGTATGAAAGGTGTAGTGAATTTGATATGAAGGAAGATGAAATGAAGAGAATAATGTGATTGATAATGACACAAGGACGGGCTATGGTATGAGTGATTATAGGGAGAAATGAAACAAGGAGAGAAGGATTAATAGTATACAGAGAAAGAGATGCAATGAAGAGATTGGTGAGATTAAAAGTATAAATGAATGAATGTTCAATGCTGGATGAATTCCTTAAGGTTGAACTGTACCTATATAGTCCAATTGTCATAGACAATTGAAATTTACAACAAAATAATTTTTAATGACGTATATTTTGTGAAATATTATAATCCTACAATTTATGATGCAGGCAATTGTGATATAATATAAATGGACAATTCATGTCCTGAAATCTATTAATGTTTAGTTTAAATATGTAGTACTCGAATATAACATTTCAAGGATGTGTACAGTCTACAACTGTTTAAAAAGAATTCCAATACAGTCCAACATTTATCATATAAAAGGGGATGTGTTGAAAGTTGAAGTGAATTGATTTAGAAAATTTCCCACTGCCCAATTCAAAGTTGATACTTGTGATACTGCCAACACAGCCTGAAAGCTGTAGCTTGTCCATTCATTATTTCAAGCAGTCATGTGACCCCCCCCCCCCCCTCAACATGTACCTTGAATCTAGTTCCCTTTTCAGTCCTCTTTGGCATTTAATTGTGATTCTTTCACAATAATCTAAACAACCTAAGGTTTGTTGTTGATGAAAATATTGTTTTTTATGAGTATTTCCTGTTTTTGTCAAAATTTCCCTGGTAGTAATTACCAGTAATTTACTGCCTGGTATTTACTGACCTACCCTAACTAAGATGCAAGGGTTTTTACATGAATACTAGCTGTTTATTGAAACCATCATTAGGATGTAAGGAAGATATGAATGATCTTGTAATCATGATGTACAAACTATTTTAATTTGTCTCAAATCATTTCTTCCAATATCTCATACCATGATTGTTGGTAGAGAAAATTATGTATACACCGATTCGGGCGACTTCTGGTGGAAGTGCGCCCTCATAAGGTGACGCCATAACTGGGGGGCGTCTGACTGCAGCTAGCTAGCTTACATTGCATTGCAGCAGACGGGTATGCTATACCTATACCGAACCTCGCCCAGGCCGGCCAGGGTCGCTGCTCCGCTAGCTAGTAACCGCTCTCGAGCTCTCTGTACTGTCAGCTGGATCGGAGAAGCCCCCCAGTTATAGCGCCGCCACCGGCGGGCAGGTACATAAAACCCCCAAACCGAATCGGTGTATACAAGCATGCTTTTTATGAACATATTCATGAACATGTAGTATGTACCCAAATCAGTTCATACTCTGTAATATGAAATTGTAGTTTGCTATACCTTTGATAAAGTAACGGATTTCATTGAACTGAACATATTCAATGTGACTGTAATGAGATTAGGATATGTGGATCATTTCCCATATTTTTCTTTCAATATAGGTTTCAAAGCCAAATGCGACCTTACACTCAAAGTCAGCTGAACGCCAGGCACAACCTGTCAGAGAGTTGAAGAAGAACATGATGAGTGTTGTAGGGTGTGACATGATGAGTCTTGGTGCACCAGAGCCTGTATTTGGCCTTGTAGCGTGGGGCATGAAGAAAAGCCCTGAAAAGAGAAAAGAGAGGGTAAGTGAGTTCCACAACACATGCTTTGGTTCCATGCTCAATATCCTGCACCATGTTCCTATATGTATCCAGGACAAACCCCTAAACATTACCTAAAACCTAATCGCAACCCTAATCCTTACCTTATGATCTCTGACCAATGTCACCTGAGGAATTGTCCCATAACACAACACTTATAGCAATTGATTGTACAATTGATTTGATTACAATGTGATTGATTGCATTAGCATAGATACTTACCTGCAATCAAGCACAAGAGTTCAATCGTAGGATGAATTGCAAGGCTTTGTGTTACAGGGCCTAGGTCACCAGTATGCGATCCTATGCTATATAGTTTATACTTACCTGCAATCAAGCCCAAGAGTTCAATCGAAGGATGAATTGCAAGGCATTGTGTTACAGGGCCTAGGTCACCAGTATGTGATCCTATGCTATATAGTTTATACTTACGTGCAATTAAGCCCAAGAGTTCAATCGTAGGATGAATTGCAAGGCTTTGTGTTACAGGGCCTAGGTCACCAGTATGCGATCCTATGCTATATAGTTTATACTTACCTGCAATCAAGCCCAAGAGTTCAATCGAAGGATGAATTGCAAGGCTTTGTGTTACAGGGCCTAGGTCACCAGTATGTGATCCTATGCTATATAGTTTATACTTACGTGCAATTAAGCACAAGAGTTCAATCGAAGGATGAATTGCAAGGCTTTGTGTTACAGGGCCTAGGTCACCAGTATGTGATCCTATGCTATATAGTTTATACTTACCTGCAATCAAGCCCAAGAGTTCAATCGTAGGATGAATTGCAAGGCTTTGTGTTACAGGGCCTAGGTCACCAGTATGTGATCCTATGCTACATAGTTTTAAGTAAGCATATATTTTTAATATGATATATTTATTTTATATGATTGCTTATTGATATAATCAATTTTTTGTGTGTGCTTAAATTTTATTATGAGAAAATAAACAACATAAACCACTACATAATAACAAATTCAGTATGATATCATAAATTAGCACTAAAATTTCAAAAATCCTATTGATCAGTAAAGGTAACTATGGAAAGGAACTGAGAGGAACACAAGATATATTATAAAATATGATCTGAAAGTATACATATCTCTCTCTCTCTCTCTCTCTCTCTTTCTCTCCCTCCCACTATTTAGACCAACAGCCTACAAAATTTCTTTTTAAAAATCTTAATATTGATACATACAGAAGCCTTTGATTAGCATGTAACTCATCAACAAAGGACATTTAAAGGGAAGTCTATCCTCATTGTGTTCTATATATATGTGATAATGAAATCCAGACCTTTTTTTCTTCTTTTTACATTAAAAAAAAAAATGAATTCAGTTTACATACCGGTATGTTGAACAATCCATAACTTGTATGAGGTTAATATTATTTGTATACCTCCAAACTAATGATGAGTTTTTTTTTTTTTTTGTTGCACTCTAGTATTACATTATTGTTTCCTATTTCATAGCTCTTAATTTTCTCTGTTCTCAGGCATTTATTGAAGAAGAGATGCTCGATGATGTTTGTGTTTACGGAGAGGAAGAAGAGGAAGAAGATGAAGAAGAGGAAGGAGAGGAAGTAAACTATGAGATGATGTGTGATGTTACGATGTCTGAAGCTTGTAGCGCTAAAGTAGACAAGGAAGTGTATGCCCAATATGGTTCGGTAAGCATTAAGCTGTAAACAGTGCCATCATTGAAACTTGGACTGACAATTAGGTTATCACTTGTTCATAAACTAGGGAAATAGCGCAAAGCCATAAAGCAGAGAGTAATTTCTGTTTTTAATTGATTCCCATCAGTGGGATTAGAACTTGAAATGAAAATTGATTATTACTATTCATGTAACAAAAAACATTCTTTACAAAAAATAACAACAACCGGTATATTAGGCTAAACTTCATTGGAGTTTATAAGACTGCACAAAACCAGTTTGGTTTTTGCTCTATTGGAGTCTGTTATAATACAAACAGCATTTTTTTTTACAATTGTGAACAATTATACCGGTAGTATTAATCAAGTTTGTGAATGTAATTAAGAAGACCTTTTTTTATGCCTCCATTACGAAGTAGCCAGGGGCATTATGTTTTCGGGTTGTCCGTCCGTCCATAAGTCTGTACGTCCCGTTCTCGTGATCGCATTATCTCAAGAACCAATCGATGGTTTCTGCCAAACTTAGGTCGTATATGTATTTTGCAGAGCCAATGAATTGATCAGATATTGGGGTCACGAGGTCAAAGGTCACAGTGCTCATTATGTATGCAGAAATAGCTCGTGATCGTGTTACTCAAGAACTGATTGATGGATTCCTGCCAAACTTACAAATGTAGGTCATGTATGTCTCTTTCAGAGCCAATGAATTGATTAGATTTGTGGGTCACGAGGTCAAAGGTTAAAGGTCACAGGGCTCTTTATGTATGCATCAATAGATCGTGATCACATCATTAGAACCGACTGGCAGATTACCATCAAACGCAGGACATGTATGTATCTTGCTGAGCCAATGAACTGATTAGATTTGCGGGGATCATGAGGTCAAAGATAAAAGGGTCATACTTGTATATGAAAAATAGCTTGTAATAACTATATTCTGAGAACCTGTTAATGGATTACAATTAAAATTGCTTCTGTTTTGGTTTGTGAATTTGCTCTATGGTGGAGGCATCATTTTCGACTGCCTGCAGTCGAAGTTCCATCTAGTTTAGCTTGTGTTTTTGTTTTTATCAAATTGTGACCTCTCTGCTTACAATCGCTAAGAGGTGACCAGAATTACTTATCTTTTAAAGTGACTTGGTAACATTGCCTCAGATTCTGAAACGAAATCCTGGATATAGCTTATGCTGCAATCATAATTATAAACCTTTAGGTCAGTCAGGGATCCATTGACTTCTACAAGCCGATCTGATTATCAAGATATTGATAATTGGAAGTCGAAATTGATTTTGCGTTTTCCTAACGGTTTTTATGACACTACAGTCTATTGGGGAAAACGAGTATGGTAAAACTGGCCGTTCACTCAATGATTTTTACTTTTTTTTGAGGCACTTCATGATCATTTTGAAGCGCAATTTTGTTATGGCTTCAATATTACACCATATCACAGACACCGATTTACACGTAGGGCCATGCATCTCAGATTTAACATTGTTAAACTAAGCCTTTAATGAATTATGTTCTCTTTCTAAAACTAGATACTTCAAGCTTTCCAATGATATATTAATTTTACAGTTTACTCCAGTAGAATAATTCAAGCTTCCAATGATTTATAACTTTTACAGTGTACTCCAGTAGAATCCACCTACATTTCATGTTAGACTAAGAGCAATCATTGACATGTACCTGTGTGTTGGCTCAGTCAGTAGAGCATCCGCCTCAAACACTCAAAAATTGTGAAAAATGGGCTTTACTTCGAAAAAATTCCCCCCAAATGACCCTTAGAAATGGTTAGGGGTTTTGAGGCTTTAGCGGCCCACTCCCGTCCAAACCCAACCTAAGAATCCCCCCCCCCCCCCCAATTTCGGGGCTGTGTTGAATCTTTTTGTTCATGATTTTAATGACTTTCCTGTCTTTTTTCAGGTGAAGCTTCAATCATGTTCAATGGGATCAAGTTCACTATCAAGCTCAAGCTCAAGCTCAAGCTCAAGCTCAAGCTCAAGCTCAAGCTCAAGCTCAAGTTATCTGTCAAGTGAAGTAACAGGTAAATCAATTCATTTAAAGCACAGCATCTTTGAATGATATCTCAGTCATCACATACTGAATACTTTTTTTGTTATTATTAATTATATTAGTAACATCTCTTAGCTCATGAGTTTGTACTTGGTCTGTACTCAAACGACCTGTATCAGCATCACTTTTACTTCACCCTCAATTCAGACTTAATGACTTCTTTGGAATGGAGGAAGGTTCAGTGTGGAGTGACTCCACCCTGAAACCGATTTTCAATCATATGAAAGGTTTTCTTATCACATGTACTTGCTGATGTCCAATACACCAGTTTACAGTTGTGTGCGCCATTTTAAACAAAGCCAATGACCTAGAGGTCATGTATTTATGCGTAAATTAGGATTGCGCCCATGCAAATTTTGATGATATTACTGCCCTACGCGCTGCGTTGTGCGCGCACATCATCATTTGCATGGGCGCAATCTTAATTTACCCATAAATACCAGAGGTCAGAGGTTATTGGCCCTGTTCCGGGGCCAATGACCCGAGGTCAACTGTCTGCGCATGCGTACTGATACAACTGTAAACTGGTGTATTAGAAGTACTTCACATGATCATGTTTTAAAGCAGTGGCTGGGAATCAAATTGTCATGGGAATAGTGTATGAGCCTCTATCTAAACCATGGAAATAAATCATACAGATACAAGGTATGTGGCAGCTATGAAAGGAGTATGAGTTATTATTACTTGCTGTAGAATTACTAGACTGAACCAGTGATGTGAATATGTTACTTGACTATAGATCACATGGTTTGCTATTCAAGTCTTGGCACTGCACTAATGTTCCTTTGCAAGACATTAATCTACATTTGCAACTTTCCATTCAAAATGGTGTAACTGGTTATCCAGTACGAATTTGTGATGATAATTTCGGCATACCGGTACAAATATTTTTTTATAAATAAATGGCATAATTTGAAATTGCCCCCTGAAAAACATTTGACAAGTTTAATTACCAGTAGGACTTGCAATTACTTGTCCATAAAATAATGAACAATATTACTACATTAAATAGAAAGATAATAGATATGTATAGAAGTAAAGATTTGGTTTTGTAAGCTGTCAAATATGAATGATGCTGTTATCTTCTACACAATTATCTTCCAAGTTTTAATTTTGTAATCATCCAAATAATACAGTACCTGTTAACTTTGATGAAATAGTTACATACATGTACATTCATATGTAAAAAATCACTATTGTTTTATATTGCAGTTGAAGGATTAACATCGCGAGTGTACACACGTAAGCATGAACTGAAGATGTGGCAGCATGCTCTGTGTAAAGGTAACATTCCAGAGTCTTTCCCTGGTTGGACTATGAAGGAGCTCTCTGTGTTGAAGCAGGCTGTGAAGGATTTCATGATGACCCTTGAACCCTACCAAGTTCCTATCATAGTGCAGTCATTACCAGATAAAGCCACTCTTGAAGCTTTAGTGGTTATGGATCTATTCAGTGTAAGTACATGCTTCTTTAGTGGTTATGGATCTATTCAGTGTAAGTACATGCTGCTTTAGTGGTTATGGATCTATTCAGTGTAAGTACATGCTTCTTTAGTGGTTATGGATCTATTCAGTGTAAGTACATGCTGCTTTAGTGGTTATGGATCTATTCAGTGTAAGTACATGCTGCTTTAGTGGTTATGGATCTATTCACTGTAAGTACATGCTGCTTTAGTGGTTATGGATCTATTCAGTGTAAGTACATGCTTCTTTAGTGGTTATGGATCTATTCAGTGTAAGTACATGCTGCTTTAGTGGTTATGGATCTATTCACTGTAAGTACATGCTGCTTTAGTGGTTATGGATCTATTCAGTGTAAGTACATGCTTCTTTAGTGGTTATGGATCTATTCAGTGTAAGTACATGCTGCTTTAGTGGTTATGGATCTATTCAGTGTAAGTACATGCTGCTTTAGTGGTTATGGATCTATTCAGTGTAAGTACATGCTTCTTTAGTGGTTATGGATCTATTCACTGTAAGTACATGCTGCTTTAGTGGTTATGGATCTATTCAGTGTAAGTACATGCTTCTTTAGTGGTTATGGATCTATTCAGTGTAAGTACATGCTTCTTTAGTGGTTATGGATCTATTCAGTGTATTACATGCTTCTTTCAGTTTATTTGAAAGACAAAGGTGAGTTCTGGTAATGCAATTGCATTGTGAAAGAAAGGTGTGGGATGGATCAGAAAAAGTTGATCATGTAGCATGTATTGGTGTGCACTGCAAGGTTCTGGAGTCATCAAAATCATAATAAATTTGACCCAGTCTTGGTAAAGTAACAAGCACTGTACACATAAAGATGTATATGGAACTACACAAGAGGTGTTGGGGCTAACTTACCTAGATTTCCTTATCTTTCTATGCTCATTACTCAGCCAGTATACATTTTCTTCCTAAATTGTTTGGCACATGACATTTATTTGTAATCTTGAACATGGGGAGTATAACATCTTGTGTAGCACAGATGAAAGTTAAACTTGAGTTGTGTTCAAATAGAAAATGAGTTCTCACATAATCAAACTTACATTGAAAGATGATTTTGTCATTTTAATTTCATGTTCTTTCAAATTTGACCCTCAGTTTTTCAATATCTCACCCCAAAAAGATATTTTGTGTAAAGTCCTCTGCAACAAAACTCAACTATCCCTTTAAATCTGTGTCAAATATATTCTCAACACCTCAACGCCTGATGCCATCGATCGCTATTATTATGTCCTTTTCTTGCATGACAAAATCATCTTTGTTTGATCAAAATCGGTTGAGAGATGGCTTAAATATACAATATTATTATTATTATTATTTCTAATATTTGTGGTGCCCCACAAATATTCAATAATTTGAACCAGCCGTTGAAAAAACAAGATAGGGCCTTATACGTTTTATTCCAGCCAATGCCGATGTTGGCTTTTTCGTGTAGGTTATAATACGCACAACCAGCCGGACCGTGTATCGTTATTATTAATTAATTAATTAACGGTCACTGTATCCTTTTGAAAATGGAGTTGAATTGGTATGATCGTATTGGCTATATTTCACACATTTTGGGGTCTAAAATTACCTTCATACCAATTTTAGGTCCTAAAAGAGCACTACAAATGTCATAAATATCGGTAAGAATAAGAGCAATAACCATGCACTCTGAATGCATTTGCGATCTGACACAAGAACTCAACTATCCCTTTAAAGACCCTGTCCAATGAAAATTCAACTTGATATATATGGAAAACTGAATGATTCGGAAGAATACAAATATAACGGAACAATATTATTCAACCTTTCATTATTGCACAAAAGCAAATTAAAACCTCATTTTCAATACCCCTCAAAATTACGGGTCAACAGGGGTCAAATTTGCTGAAGTAACACTGACGACATAACATTGATATTATTATAATGTATGGCTTACAAGCATTCTGTCAATACATAATTCATCCATTTCATTTTTCAGTTCAGATATGGTCTTTAATAATATTTAACATAGAGTTAACACCTCTCTGACTCACAGCAGCAATACGAACTTGACTTAATTGTGATACGGGAAGAGTCAGGTTTTGAGTTTCTTGTTGAAAGTTCTTCTGTGTTACATAGGATATCTAGTTCTCGGCTTTAAATCAAGCTAATAATCTCTTTTGAATAATAATAATAAATTTATAGAGAGTCGTGCTATCAGATCAAAGAGCATGCCATGAGCCCAATCACCATTGTATGAATTAGTGCTGTGTCACAACCACAACCACACATGCAGAAATTCACTCCACGGATCAATGGGGAAAAAAAATCACCTGTTTTTCAGCATTATAAATTGCTGAAGTCAATATTTCACAAAAATATCCATCATCAGTCTAAAAAATAAAGTTTAAATTCCAATGCTACTTCATTAAACACTAATTCCCATATAATGTACAACTTTGATCCAATGCTGTCAAGTCTCTTCTCTTGTCGTCATGCAAACTGCCAAACAATGCCGATCATTGCGTTCTGACTTTCCCTCGAGCATTTCGTGTGCAGTAACGTTACTATATAGTAACAACTTTTTTGATAAAATCCTTGTTTCGATGCTTGTGCAATTTTTCCCTGAGCGTGAATGCACGCTGGTTTCCATTGTCCGTTTGTTGAGTACATAAAAGATACCTGGCTGAAATACTGCTTTTGTTTTTTTTCGTCAATTTCATAACCGGCGTGTACACTTGTACACGCACGGATAAACTCGCCGTGTGCAAGGAGAGGAAATTACACGCTAACTCACAGCACTAGTGTGAATTCTAAACAATTTTTGTTTGTTGTATTATTTCAAAGCATGGAAGTCTTTCTTAAATCTATATGCAAAGTAGAACACATTAACATACATGACTACTGTTTATTGTTAAATATTGAGATCCTAATTAGGCAATTAGAATATTAGCCAATTCAATAACATGATTTTTAGAAGAAGTTGTTAGATTGTTGTATGGATCGTGCCTTGTTTGATACTCATGATGAATAATCCTTGAGCTCTTGCTCATATTGAATAATATAAATATTGATAAGGAAATCCAAACTATTAAAGGTCCAAGTCTCAGCTGGAGTTTTTCAAGACATGCAACTTCTTTTTTCAATATTGCATGAAAATCCAAGATTGGGATTCTGATAACTCTTTTTTTCATGTGAAGACCCACATGATGTATATCATTTTATATGTACAATTTGTTTGTTTTTCTTTTGAATGTAGTGTGTAGATGACTACCTTGATGAAGAGGATGCCAGTTCATGTGAAGAAGATGAACCTGTAAGTATCATTATTAACATATTAAAACTTTAAATTTCATGTATTATTGGTGGTAATGTTACATGATAATCTGATGTTGGAATAAACTGACTTTTCCGAATGGCAATTTCATACAACTACGTCTCACGTTCCTAGACCTTTTTCTTCACGCCTATATATATATATATATATATATATATATATATATGTATGTATATCTGTAAAGAGCTTAGCCACATGGTTGATGTAGAAAGCACTATATAAATCTTGAATATTATAATGTAATAATTTTAACATTCCAACATAGATGGTCCATTAACCCATAACTGAATAATTACATGTAGAAGTGTCTGAATGACAGTTTCAGTAGATTCATGTGTCAGAAGTCTAATTATTTCAATCCCAGAATGAAAGGCAACCAATGCAGCATTATTCTACCAAGTAACAACTCATGTGTAATACACTCATGAACTGCAGTGTATTGTTAATATCTTTATGGATGCACTGTACAGGGGCAGATCCAGGGGGGCATGTCTTTTCCAAAGAAAAATGAAAAATAAATACACACAAAGATGTTCAGTTTACTCAAGAAATGCCTCAGGATGTACCATAGAATATCTTCAGGTTCAAAATTTTCCGGGACCTTAAAAGAATGAGCGGGCCATGGATCTCACGCCGTGAAGGCTTTGCGCTCCTAATTTTGTACATTCCCCCCCCCCCCCCCCCTTTGGGGGCAATTCGGTAATTTCCAGGGGTAATTGTCCTGCTGGTAATTTACTAGAGGGGTTTTTGTCTTGTCTTTTCTTTATTGTGTCTTGTGTGATTTGATAAGTTTCACAGGATTTTATATCTACATGTACCAGTGAACTTTATAAGTGATCAATTCATTTAGACAGGTCTATTTTATGTCATATTCCAGGAATCAATGGTATTCTTCACCCTGGGCAAATATGTGAACTTTGTGAAACTATTTGGTCTTCTCAAGAATGCAGGCATACACTCACTAGGTAAGTTCTACTTCTACTTCTATGCCGATACTCGTCCAAAGCCTTTTCATCAGTATTTAAACAAGAAAATTGTGACGTGGTGTCTCTCGTGGTGGTCACAATTAACAAGTGGAGCTTGCGTATATACAAGTTAGGCGCATAGACTGAAGCTCAGATATTGTTTTAATCTTAATGTGCTACTCTTATGGTAAACCTGCCACATTGTATTACCCCAGGAATCGAAGGCTTATACATTATGTAGATATTTTTAGTGATTTCCAGTATAGAACTATTTTATGGATGATATCAGTGTTTTTATGTAGCCATTCAGAGCCTTCAGAGTCATGATAGTTGCTGTCTACTCAATAAAGGATTGTTTGACCTGAGAAACATACTTTATACGACCTTGCTACTAGCTGGCTTATCAGACTCATTAATGGTTAGAATATGAACTCTTGTTTGCATAGGACCATAAGACCATGTTTGTTTATATTTAGTGCCTTTTAATGACTTTGAAATTAATAATATTGGTCTAAGAAAAGAGGCAAAATGCGAGCCGCCATCTTGGATTATAATGCATGCTTAAGTTGGTACTGTTCTGGGGTGTAGGGTTCGCATAAATGAGATAAATTTTTCAACCACTATATTATAGTATTTTTTAATCAATAAGTTACAATTATGCCCCTATTATATACTTTTCACCAAATGTAATTTTTACCTTCTCGGCTATGATTTATCCTCGTACAGTAAAGGTACGGTACAGTATATCTGCCAGTCTAGATGTTTAGTTGATAGAGTCATATGAACGGCATGCCCCAAACTTATGTTCATTAGAGATAAAGTTCTGTCTTAAATTCTACATAAGTTGCACACATAGTATTGTTGTGTTTATTAGGAAAGATGGATTATGAGCACAAACCAATCACTTTTTTCACCCCAAGTCAAACAAAGTGTGTACCCTGATTGTACAACAACAATGTAGTAAACAATGTATGTGGCTAATGTCATACATAGACTGGGTAGGTGACATTCCTTAATATTATTCATTCTTGTATTTTACTCTGTTAACGGCATGGTGAGAAGCATTATAACATGTATGTGTGCTCTCAAAACTATCCCTTGCTTCATAGGATCAAAGACTGGAGCTAAACTTCTGAGAGTATTGATGGTATCCTTGGTTGTATGTTGTGCAAAGAAACTCTCATCCACAAAGTCCACCGACCATCTCAATCTCAACCAACTTACCCATTACATTCACCATCTAGAGATTGCTCGTACAGATTCCTGGATTGAGGTTGCCTCTCAGATGATTGCAAACTAATCATCTAGAGATTGCTCGTACAGATTCCTGGATTGAGGTTGCCTCTCAGATGATTGCAAACTAATCATCTAGAGATTGCTCATACAGATTCCTGGATTGAGGTTGCCTCTCAGATGATTGCAAAAAAATCATTTAGAAATTGCTCATACAGATTCCTTGATTGAGGTTGCCTCTCAGATGATTGCAAAATAATCATCTGGAGATTGCGCATACAGATTCCAGAAATGAGGTTGCCTCTCAGATGTTTGACAAATGATCTAGCTATCATCTTGCTTTATACTTGAATACTGTTTCATAGACCAAATTAATGTTCTACAAGTGATTTATTTGATCGTAATTGATAATTAGCAAAATATTTAAATTTATAAACATTTGCATCATATTTTTCATGTTAAAATAAAAGGCTAAATTTTTTTGAGAATGCAATGATTTTGCAGTAATAGATTACCTACATGTATACAGTGCGTCCCACATAAAAGGAAACCGAGAATTATCGATGTTTTATCATAACTTAATCACAATTATAATTGATAAATGACACACATTTGGAAAGCTTAGATCCTTCTATTTCATTTGATGCAACTCATAATAATGCATATTTCACGCATGAGTGATTAAAATCAATTTGAAGAGAGGAAACCGAAAAGTCGTTTGGCGTGCGGTATCTGAATTTCATATGACACCTCATTCAGGAAAAATGAGCTAGGAATAAAAAAGTTCTGTTTGTTTAAAGTAGTGCTTGTATTTCCATAATTTGATCAAACAAATTCGTTTTCACTGGCTGCTGACGTATCAACAACCAAAATTAACAAAAGACCTAACTCCGTTTCTTAGACAATCAGCCGTAGACGAAAGACTTCATGCATGGCTGATTGTCAACAAAACGGAGTTAAGTCTTTTGTCAATTCTGCCTTTTTGCTACGGCAGGCAGCCAGTGAAAACGAATTTGTTTGCTAAAATTATGAAAATATAAGGGCTACTTAAAACATCGATAATTCTTGTTCTCGTTTTTTCTGGGAGGCACTGCATAATGATCATATGTTGCCGAGAATACTTTGTGAACATAAGGCTTTTAATCACATGTATGTTTTAGAGCATTAATCAACAATTTTAAAGGAATTTCCTTTTCAAAGAATATCTGTAAGTTATATATTTCTTGATAACAGATTATGCAAGGTAAAAAATCCATCTACTTATCCTGTTGCAGTGTACTTAAATATTCATATGAATTCAAGCTACTACATTTGTTTGAATTTTGAATTGCTCATATATATATATATATCGTTCTTTTAACTTTTAAGAAAAATATCAGTCTTAAAAGGTTATAGAAGCTGATTTTGGCAATGGAAAAATGATGCCTTTGAAATAATTCTACTTATGTATGTTATCTGTCATTTTATATGTTTTGTGGTATGGTATGAAAAGAATTTTTTTTCTTTCTGAGAATTAAAATTGTCTGTTTCTAAACATTGATGTTTCATAAAAATTAGTTGGACGTTCTTTCCCTCAATTTGACTACAAATTAATGATTACTTCAAGCGTATGTCAAAATGTTTAAGTGGACCACTTAACATGATCCCTATTTAAATATGATGTTAAACATCTGAAGAGTGGAATTTTCTGTATATATACAAAATAGCTTTTTTCAATCGTTAAATATTGCCATTCGAAAATGTAAAAATTATTATGTTGACATAGTAATTTGCCTGTAAAAAAACATCCAAGGTTTATTCATACATGTATACAATTTTCATTTGGTATAAATGACATAGTTATATGGTATGGGTGTATATATTTGTTTCCTGGGGGATGAAAGAATGAAAGATATATATTTTGATTTTAATGATCTCTTAAAATATATTGAACACATAGATAAGACATTAATATATGTAACAATCATATGAAATTTATATATCTAAAAATACATTTCACTCACTGTTTGTATGCGTATGAGCATATATTATATACATGTAATTGCATAACCATACAAAAATATTCTTATATACTCTTGATAAATGTGTATTTCATGTGTATTAATTATTTTTAATCGGTTATGCAGATAAACATACATTGTATAAATATAACTATTTTACAAATTCATCTCAAAGTCTCATTATTGTGTGAAATATACAATATTTCAATGACTCTAGATAGCCTAGTAGTATATGACCACATACATATAGTTCAATTGATATATAATCTTATGTAATATTGTTATACATGGATGAATTGTCTTTAGGTCTGAAAGTAGTCTCCTGAAGCAGTCTTTCAGTATTGAAATATGAATGAATGAATGTCTGATATGCATTCTTCTATAAGTCTACAATATTTGTTTCTAATACCTATTGTAGTAGTTTATACTTAAACTAGTTTGTACTTATACATACATATATGTGTCTGTGTAATGTAGCTGTATACTACCTTAGACAGGGACAGGGATTTGTTTTCTATGGGATATTTTGTTGTGCATTAAGATTCATTGTGGGTTTTTAAAGGTAGTGTGTTAATTGATACTTTGAAATATGTTTGTGTGTTTTAGTAGTCTAGTAGGTTAGTATGAAATATGTTTGTGTGTTTAGTAGTCAGTAGGTTAGTATGAAATGTGGTGAAGTCTGACCAGAGATAAGTATACACCAATGTACCTACCTGTATGTTAATAATATTGTAGTAGATATGTGTGGTATTTTAAAGCGTAGGTAAGACCAAGAAGCATAGTTTCAACCCTTAAAGATAGAATTGAGTTCTGGTTATGCATTTATTTTTTTAGAAAGAACAGTCTGGAAACGAGAGAGTATCAAAGTGTGACGTCATACTAGCCAAGTTGTCAAGGTTTCTGGTTTCAAACAATTTTGTGCTGAACATTGGTGTGGTAATCACACCAGGGGCAAACACTGAATTTGCCCTGCTCCAGCCCATTGCTTCAATGATTTTGCGGTGAACCTCATGCGCAGGCTCTGTTGTTTGGAACAAGTAACCTGGACAAAGAGTGGATTCGACGTTTGCACATTATAGGAATTGAGAAAGGTGAGACTATAATTAGTGCTTCCGATCTTGAGATTTTAGAAGAGAGGGATGCTGACCTAAACAAGAATGAGAAACTTACAATTTACCAGAACTCAACCTCTTCTTTAAAATACCTGAACTTGTAATTGGAATACATTTATACAATGTCATACTCAAGACCCCTCCCATGTACATGTTTATACCCCCTTCAACTCCCCAATTTGTAGTATATCTGTAACAATTATTTGTATATTTTTGTAGACTATGCCATTTGCAACAAATGGCTTAAATTCCCTACTCAGCTTTTCAGTGGTAATCTTGAGTTGCATTTTATAAGTACTTTTTTAAAGATTTCGACATGGTTGAAAAATAATTTAGATTTAATACAAAAACACACACTGTACATATTCATTGAAAATGAAATGAATCTTAGAAATTTGAAAAATGTTTATGTAGTGGTACTTTGAGCATATCAGAGTTTTAAAGATGATGTGGTTTGACATGAGCATATCTGTACATTGTATGTTGTTTTCAGCAAGTTTTATAATTTTCTGAATTTAATTACCTAAGGTGTATGTTGATTAATTTTACGATTAAGGATTAAGAGTGATTTTGGGCTAGATCTGCTTGAAATGTAATTTCATTATCAGATTTTACCATTAGGCGAGAGTTGGTTGCATGATTAATGTTAGTTGTTTGTATCATAAGATCTTTATAATGAGTATTATATTCATATTTTTATGGAAAATGTCTTGCTTATTCTAGTCTAAACAAGTGTATCAAGAGTTTTAGAGGGAAAGTGTGACACAATTGTAATTTTGAATTATTTCCAATTTGTTTAGTCATTGCTTTTATCAAAATATCTGTATGAGTTAAACATCCTATATCTATGATTTAGAGAGAAAGAATAATAATTTGTTAGAAGGTATTTTGTTATGTAATACAGCACTTTCTATAGTGTCACAAGTCATATTAGTATGCCCAGTATCTCCACATCAAATTGTTATTATACCATATAATGACTGTGAACACTCATGCATTGAACATAATTACAATGGGTTTATGCGATCTTCACAGGTACCCACCCTCTCCTGGGTGGCAAATAAGTTTCCACCTCTATTATTAAACTTTTTTTGGGGGGGGGACATATGTATTACGTACTGCTTTTTAAATTTTCATGTGAAATATGATGAAATTATGTGGAAAAAGAAGAAATTAAATTGAAATGGAAACACAATTGTTTCCCGGCTTTTCTATCTGTCTAATGCTTGCCTGCAGATACCTTATACAGATTATTCACTCGCAGCATTGGTAGGAAACCTAGTCAGGGTACACATGATGGTGACCAAAACACAAGGATGTTTTTAATACTAACAGGCACCCATTTAAACACCTGGGCAGAGAGAAACGAAATGCTTTCCTCTAAAGGGTTTGAGTATTGAGACGGTGCTCCAGTCTTTAACCTTTGTGTATGCAGTCAAATATACAGATACTCAAAAAAGACATTCCTATTTATATAATTTGTGTTAAGTTTACTTTTTAAGGCATAATTACTGTTCAAATAATACAATTTATATTTTGAATGACAAATGCATAACTAAAAATTATATATTTTTCTGAATATTTTTTTAAGTGATTTATAAAGATTAAAGTAGAGTTTTGAAAATACATTCTATTGTCTACATGTTATTTTTTGAATGCGTTTGATTTGGTGATGCCAGTTGATGTTTCAATGAAAAGAAAGTTAAATAGATGTACATATTTTCCCTCATAAACTATAGCTTTGTCGCGGGCCGGGGTATACTTGGTGTATCTCCAGGGTCCATCATCCTTCAGAAGAAAATGCTCTTGCCTTCTTGACATATGCAACGACTTTTACTTGGAGCAGATGGTCAAAGAGCCTACCAGAACAGCAGGCGCTACAGAGAACATCCTTGATCTTGTTCTCACTACCCATCCAGCCTTCATAATCATTGATGAGTGCAAAGTCACAGCAGGTATCAGTGACCACGACATCGTGAGCTTTAGAGTTAACCAAACTCCATCAATCTCAAGGAAGAAAGCTCGGAAAGTATTCATGTATAATAAAGCTGATACAACCGGCATGCGTGCAGATCTCCTCAAGTTTCAGTCTTCTTTCCTACGTAGCAGCCCAGAACCTAGAACAGTACAGCAGAACTGGGATGACTTCAAAACAGAGATTGGAGACCTCATGGAGAGTTACATTCCAACAAAGGTGTCTGGAAAGAAAAAAAACCAGTCCCTGGATCACAAACACCATAAAGAGAGGAGTCAGGAGAAAGCAAAGACTGTACAATAAAGCTAAAGCTTCAAAAACACCAGATGATTGGCTTAAGTACAAGAATTATCAGAAAGAATTAAGATCTGAACTTCGTCGTAACTACTGGACTTCTCTACTGATGACAAGAACAACACAGCATTCTGGAAGTTCATCAAATCCAGAAAGCAAGAGTCATCTGGAGTTGGATCCCTCAAGTGTGGTGAAAAAAGGGAAAGCAACTGCACTGAACGACCAATTCCCATCAGTTTTCACACTGGAGGATAACTCCAACATTCCAGTTCTTAGACAACCCGTGTTTCCTTCAATGGATCGCATTAAAATCTCTGTGGAAGGCATTGTCATGCTACTGAAAGCTATAGATGTTAGCAAAGCCACAGGACCAGATGGCATACCAGGAAGGATCTTGAAGTTCTTTGCTGAAGACATTGCACCGATCCTGACCTTTATCTTTCAACAATCTCTAGATACAGGAACAGTACCATCTGACTGGCGTCTTGCAAACATCTCACCAACCTTCAAGAAAGGAGACAGGAGCAAGGCCTCCAACTACCGGCCTGTATCAATCACGTCCATCTGCAGTAAACTGCTCGAACATGTCATCATGGATCACTATGACGAAAATAATATTCTCAATGATGTTCAGCATGGCTTTCGTCCTGGCCATTCATGTGAGACCCAGTTGATCATTACATCTCAAAATGTTGCACATTTCTAGAGCAGAAAGAGCAAGTTGATGCAGTTGCATTAGACTTCTCCATAAGCTTCATCACTATGGGATCCATGACAACCTTATCAGATGGATCAGGGTGTTCCTAACTGAAAGGTTACAACGTGTTGTTGTAGATGGAGAGTCATCTGAATGGGTTCCAGTCACCTCTGGGGGTACCGCAGGGCACAGATCTTGACCCACTTCTGTTTATATCCTTCATCAATGACATAGTAGATGGGATCTCTTCCAAAATCCGACTCTTTGCTGATGATTGTCTTCTATACCGTCCGATCACTGAGCCAAGCCCTACAACAAGATCTCAACAGGCTGCATTCATGGGCTAACACATGGCAGATGAAATTCAACACCGAGAAATGCTATCACATATCACATTCTCCCTACGTCGGAAAGCCATCACCACGACATACACACTAGGAGACACTCCTCTTGCATTGGTAACAGATCTCCGGTATCTAGGACTGACTTTCTCATCCAACTTGTCCTGGCAAGGCCACATGAACAACATCACATCCCGAGCCAATCGGATGCTGGGACTAGTCAGCAGAAATCTCCGCAAAACCTCACAAAAGATCCGCCAACAAGCCTACTTCTCTCTTGTTATACCTCATCTGGAATACTGTTGCTCGGTCTGGAAGCCTCACACAAACAAGCATATATCCCAAATCGAGGCAGTACAAAGGCGAGTAGCAATTAGATTCACCCTCCAGAGATATCGTCGTATGGCCAGTGTCTCGGCCATGATTCAACATCTGAAATGGGAGAGCCTGGAGAGGAGAAGAAATGCTACAAGCCTCCACCTCATGTACAAGATCCAAAACAACACAGTAGCCATCAATGCTCACCATTACACAGCAACACACGACAGTATCACTCAAAGAAGTTGCTGGCTATCCCATTCCGCACCCAACTCTGCCAGAACTCATTTCCCCCTCGTACAGTAACTGCGTGGAATGCACTTTCGGAGATCACCCTTGACGCTACTTCACTGGAGGGCTTCAAGGGAGCGCTTTCACCCAGCATCTAGACCAAGAACTAGATTTTTATTCCTCAGCACTAGATCCTGACTTATTGATCCTGCTGAGTATCGTCGTAGAAGTAGAAGAGACTGGTACATCATATATCATAAGTTTCCACTGCATTCTTGGTACAATTAGGTATTGATATATCCAGCACTTCATGACGCCAGTCAAAACACAGTTGTCGATAGTATGTAGCCATCTCCCAAGCGAGACCATCATGTCCTGACGAGCAGCATTGTCTCTGAAGTTCCCAACAATCAGACGTCCTAGAAACTTCACCGGCTTATTATGTACTCCGGGTATCGTCTGGCCGTCGACGGCGAATGGCTCGATATGTTTTACTTTGCCTCCATGGCATGGGGTTAGCCCATAATCTTTGGGCACAAATTATGAATTTTCAAAAAGGCCTATATTCATGTCTTTTTATCTCTAGAAGGTGTCTATGACCCCTGTTTATTCAAACACTAATTGCAGATAATTTCATGGAATATAGAAAAGGCCCCTTTTTGACAAACTGGCAAGGGCTTAGAATTTTTTTTAAAGGGCCTCTTTTCATCTATGTAAGGTGTCTATGGCCAATGTTTAATCAAACTATGTTATTGCAGATAATTTCATAAAAATGGCAAAGGGTTAGCCCATCATTTTTGGCCAAAAATTATGAATTTTCATAAAGGCCTATTTTATTATCTTTTTGAATGATTGTGTGTCCCTTCAGTTTTAAAATACATTTCAGTGCTTTGCCCTTTTTGTCAAAATCTTCTAGAGAAAAAGTGTCTTTGACCCCTATTTATTCAAACTATGTAATTGCAGATATTAAATGGCCCTTTTTGACAAAAAAGGGCAAAAGCACTGGAATGTGTTTTAAAACTGAAGGAACACAAAATCATTCAACCAGCGATGACTTGTATTATGTTTTCTTTTAAAAAGTAGATCGAGGGCTTGCTCCTCAAGGGGGTCCTGCTATGAATAAAATAATACAACACAACACAATATTGTGAAGCGGAATATTGATATTTTATCCCCTGTTCCTTTCGTGTCTTAAATCAATGTACATCACACATAAATCGACAAGCAAGCGATTTGTGCAGCCCCCAAGAAAGCGAAGAAGACAGTAATGAAAACGACTGAGAAGAAAGAAAAAAGAAGAATTGGAGAAACCGATGAACACGTAATATTAGAAACTGGAGACCTGTTTTGATATTTAACGTCCATTTATTGCACTCGGTGGCAACTTTACTGTTCTTTCAGGCTTTCAGCGCCAACATCATTGTATTTTTTTCCTGATTTTTCAGTTTTGCAAGAATTCTGTAGATAACATTTGTGTTGATGGTACCTGTTTAGTGAGTTGAGGGTTGTCTCAAACTGCAACTTCCACATGACTTGTATGATTATAGACTTTATCTTCATAAGAATGAATGGCTCGACCTGTGACCATGTTGTTTGCTGTGTTAGCTTTATCAGTGGTCAGTGCTTCTGTGTGATTACGCAATGCCTTGACTATAAGCACCCTTTCTATTGATTACATCATACACCGTCAAACTGGTCAACACTTTGCAGCATTATTCTTTCCCCAATTCGATGACAATGAAGAAAACCCATCAAGTGATGGGTCTGTTTCGCTCCAGTTCACACACCCACTCTAAAAGATCCCTTTACCGTATTGAAGATGCATGTAAAAACACTATTAATACCAGACAAGCACAGTATAAAAGAAATTCCCACGTATTTCTTCTACGATCCCTTACCATCCAAAGTCACCTTTCTGTAGACTTTCAGCTTAGAACCTAAAGACAATTACAACATTCCTGTATCATTTTTAAAGTGAGGCCTTGGAGTCCTGTCGTAGCCCGTCCTAGAGTTTTCCACAGAGTGAGGTAAGCATAACTTGTGTTTGTTGTAATATAGAGAGGAATTGTCTTATCACTTCCATGAAAGTTGTTGCACTTATTTGAATCATGTGGAAATTTATTGAAATCTGTAGGCAGAACGGGGCAAAATGAGTAAAAAGTATGGGTAGAGGCTACGATGGAAGTAGCCTCTAAGTTGCACATATAGCCATAGAAGGAATTCTAAGGGATCGATAGCCTCACATTATTATCTCTCTACCAAAGAGAAGGCAATGTGTTTACAGTTCCCTTGCAATACAATCACATCCATCGTTTTGCCGTATAACCATTATTATTGTACGATTTTGATTATGATTATGATTTAAAGCCACACTGTGCTACTTGTACCTACTCGCTCCCTCTATATATAAAACAATGCCTAATCGGTGACCATTGGTCCCCCATGGTCCTCTTTTTCTTATGTTAATTGAGAGCTAAATTGATGAGATAACCATCTGTCCAGTGACCTTTCAGGGTAGTCTAATCCCTCGTATAAACTAGTACAGATAAGCTTGAAAGTACTAATAAATATACAGAGTTTCAATATTATAATGTCAAAAAATGTCTCGCTTGGTCGCTACGCTCTCTCACTACAGAAACCCTGTCTTTCAGAGTCGCTTAACGACTTATTAAAGTTGACCCCACATTGAGATCCTTCTTAAGATGAAACGAAAGTTCAAGTCAAATTGTGATGTTTCATTATGAAAATTACGTGAATTATTTTGATGTACAATGTCAATGATCTTTTTATGTTTTCTTATAGCTCTAAAACGCAAAACTTTCACATTCCCAATTCAAGAACATTCACTCATTCACTACGCTCTCTCGCAAATCTATGGATAGTTTATTGCTTATAAATTACAAATCCCATTCAAAAGAATCTTTATTGGAAAAATTCAATTTCCCCATCCTCCTCGCAAAAGATCATTAATATAACTACATGTATGTTACATTAGTCACTATGCAGTGCAACTATGTAAACGATTGACCCCCCCGCCGTCATGTTGATTGTGCTCTGAAATAGTTTCCTAATTCTATATTTGATTTGTTTCTCACTCAGTCGCTATGCTCCCTCACATATTACTTGACGGGTTCCCAAGACTGCACATAATTTTACGCCAAGGCTCAGGAAGTATATGTGCTGTGACTTTCTCTTAAAAAGGGAGAAGACAAACTCGTTTTTCCCTTCCTAGCAACAACAACATATACCTCATTTCCCTAAAATACAATTTAAACCTTCTAGAATCGATTTCATTAAATGTTTCTTAACATTCTTTACCTCCAATGAAGGGATGGGACAGAATTAATTTCACCGACCCTCTCTCAGGACAAAAAGCTATATCTGGAAGAACTAGCCGTTGAGGCCGGCATAAAAATGATAATGATAGTAATAAATACTTATGAAGCGCACTTATCTAATAACTTACCCAATGCGATATACAAAACAGAATACACAAATCTCTCTCCAGAATTTTAACATCATGATAGCATTAGTAACTCTGAGTAAATAAAACCTTTTTAACATGTTTCTGAACGGTTTCTAGGCATAATGGCCCGAATTCACAAAGGAGGTTGTCGACAAACCTTTGTGAATTCGGGCCTGAATGTTTGGCAGCTTATGCTCTTAGTATAATGTAATTCGTTATTATGAAGTAGGCTGAAGTGGTTTGCCAGCATGTTTAAAATACTCTTGATTACTATTTTCAATTTTATAGAAACACTTTTAAGTAATAAGTAATAAACTTACTTTAAAGTAATGCTACTTTGTACTGTAGAAACTTTTCTATTAAGAATGCTGAATGTGCTCTCATTTTCTTGCCGTGTTTCAAACATTCTGATGACAAGTTAAATTCTAAATGTACAACACCCTTGTTGCTAAGCCTGTGGATAATTTCTTCCTGGTAGTGTTCGCTCACCACCCAAGCGGGTACATGGTAATCCCATCTCACGAATAACTATATAGGGATGAACACAATTTCATATGGATGACACTCTGTTTAAAGGAATACAAAGTTATTTTCTTTTTAACAAAACAAAATCTGAACATTGCTCTTATAAAAGAATGAGGAATTAATGGGGATACAAACAAATATATTACGCTGGTCAATTCTAACGATATGTCTTTTAGTTTTGTAAAGATGTTCTGTATCCCGATGGGTCACTGGGTTCGATTATCCCTCTTCCACAGCTGAAACTACACCCTGTTTGATCTGAATATTGATTCACATCAACTCAAAATTAAATGCAATTGTAGTTGAACTGTGAATACTATTCTCTCAAGAGGGCGTGCTTGACTTTAATTCTTTCTTTCTATTATTGCACCGTTGCTAAATAATGATTTGATCCAGCGAAGCGGTCCAGGCGGTGCGCGAACTCGCACCCCCAGGCCAGGCTAGTCACAAAATCACCCATGAACTTGGCTAGAAGTGAACGCGTTAGCTCTTGACATGGGTATACCAGATGTAAACGCTTGAGGACATAACTGCGATTCTTTATCGTAAAGGGATTAAACCAGAAAGAGAAAAATGCTATCGTGATTGGAATTATTATCGAGGGGAATACACGTCAGGTATGTAAACTATTACTATCATTAATATCAAGGTCTAGCTAGAGTTCAATATGTATTCATAGTTTTGTCCTTTTGCATCAAAGGAAATGACGATCTAACTTGGATTGAATTCATGATTTTATGTTATGTGCTAGGTACTATATATACTAGAATTAATTTAAGATACTGAATTTGAGCGTGATTTAGTGTCTGTATATAGCCGCATCTATTTGATATTAGTACCCCCTTCTTATGTTCTGTCTCTATCACTCTCTCTCTCTCTCTCTTTGCATGGAGCATACCTGTAGATTTTCTACCAGTTTACATCAGTTATTTGCTCCTTTCTGTTTACCTCTCATCCCATTCTGTTCCATCCATGCCTTGTATTTGCCTTTCACACTTTACATACTTAATGACCTTTGTCGTTCCCTCTATCGTTCTGAGCTCCGATTGTCTCATCGCCTAGCTTACTATTCTCAGCTCAATCGTTCTGTCATACAGTTAACCATTAAGAAGCTGCTTCACATACTTATAAGTTTTACTCAGATCTCGCGTTGAGATCTCAGTGTCATTCATTTTGGGTAATTTCTTCACTATCATCGTTTCATTTTGGGTAATCTCATTAACAAAAAATGGATGTTCAAGGCAGATTTTTCTCATGTGACCTCTCGGTTGTTGGATGCCGGAGAGACAAAACCATAATTTCTTACCGACTTTGCTTTGAATCATCTCGTGGCTAAGATCGTTATTTCAAATATCTAGCTGTGAGAGCAATGATGTCAGTTCGTTTGGTTTGTGTATATGGTTTTACACAGCGTCAAACCGACCTCAATAATGTGGTTAGGAGATTGCTTTACTGTGTCACCAGCGGAACTGTTGATTTATGAATATGACTATAGGCTAACAATCTCAGCTTTTATGTTTGCTGTGGTCTTTGTTGACAAAGCAATTACAATGGAATATCATGGTCTCTGATCCGTGAATAATTCATAATGAGATTGTATTCTGCCTGTACGGAGCGCACTGATCAGTCAGGTTTGACTCGATCAAAAGGCAAATAGGTACACCCTCATCACGGTCTTTTGACTATCAACCTGTCTGTGGCAAAATACCTTTCTGACAATGAAAACTACCTTGGTTACAATGAAAACTATACATAATAAAGAAAAAACTTTGGATGTATATATTGACAGCGAAGGTTGTAGCATAGTATAGTAAAATAAATATAAGCATGAGAAGAAGCATGAGAAGAAGCATGTCAGTTTGAACGAAGTACATGTGTACATTACAAGGGGGAATGTCGTATTATCATCGTTATTGGTATGAGAGATATTATAAATTCTGGTGGTGGTTGTGATAGTATTAGTACTAGTATTAGTAGGGGAGGTGGTGCTGGACGTAGTAGAAGTAGTAGTAGTAGTAGTAGTAGTAGTAGTAGTAGTAGTATAGTAGTAGTAGTAGTATATTAGTAGTAGTAGTCGTAGTAATAGAAGTAGTAGTAGTAGTAGTAGTAGTAGTAGTAGAAGTAGTAGTAGTAGTAGTAGTAGTAGTAGTATAGTAGTAGTAGTAGTATATTAGTAGTAGTAGTCGTAGTAATAGAAGTAGTAGTAGTAGTAGTAGTAGTAGTAGTATATTAGTAGTAGTAGTCGTAGTAATAGAAGTAGTAGTAGTAGTAGTAGTAGTAGAAGTAGTAGTAGTAGTAGTAGTAGTAGTATAGTAGTAGTAGTAGTATATTAGTAGTAGTAGTCGTAGTAATAGAAGTAGTAGTAGTAGTAGTAGTAGTAGTAGTAGTAGTAGTAGTAGTAGTAGTAGTAGTAGTAGTTAAGATACTAGTATAGTGGTAGTTTGTTTTGTTGTTTTTATTGGAGGAGAAGGAAATCAGTCCTTCAGCAGTTAGTAAATATTGAATTTGTGAAAGTGACACCATTAATAGCTTCATACGTTGTCATTGATAATAAACAACACCCCTATTAGTTCTTAATGAAACATTTCTCTTCCTAAACCGCCTTCGTAATGCATACAAAGTAGGCAAACAAAATCAAAAGCAAGCGATATTGTGGTAAGACTACTACCTATTTCTGTAGCTGTTAATGACATTTTGTGAGATGTTTCTTGGTACATGAACTTTGACCGTAAGCTGCAGGCCACCAGACAAAGCATGAGTCTTGATATCACGTACTAACAACCTGGAGAATCAATTCCATGGGCTGCCAGCTTTTATTAGAAGAAGAATTATTACTCTCGTTCTCATGTTTATTATGACTCATATACACAGAATTATTCTTCATGTAATATGCACGTACCACGAAATTACTCGCGAACTTCTTTTCGACATCTATTAAAGACATCGCATTTCGATGTTCATGGAAATTTCAAGAAGAAAAGGTCGAAGCAAAATTATCCTCCACTTCGAGAGAATATAGACCTATGGAAAATGAAATTTGCATTATCTGTTATGACAATGTTGATTGATAACGATGATAATAACAACAATAATTCTAATACTAACACTAATGAAAATACTAATAACAAGAAAAGTGATAGTAATTAGGATGATGATGATAATAAATTTAAAAAATGATATTAATAATAATAATAATAGTAATAGAAATAACAATAACAATAACAACAACATTTAGCAACTATATGTGAAAGAAGCCTGGTCTCAGCCAGGTGCAAATGTTAGTTTTTGTGGAAACAAGTACATTACATGATTTCGAACCTGCTTCAAGCCTTATTCACACAATAATTTAAGCTGCTAGATTATTGATCCAAACGTTCAAATGTTTCCTCTCATGTCAAGAAGATACTCAAGCAGGTACCCATTTACATACTTTAGTCTAGTGCTACAGTCCACTAGACCACAACACGTCTATTACTCCAATGTACTACTGCTACTACTACTACTACTGCTACTACTACTACTACTGCTACTACTTCTACTACTACTACTACTACTACTACTACTACTACTACTACTGCGACTACTACTACTACTACTACTACTACTACTACTACTACTACTACTACTACTACTACTGATACTGCTACTGATACTGCTACTACTACTACTACTACTATTATTACAACTAGGGCAATAACTACTACTAGGCCTACTACTACTACTACATGTACTTCTGCTACTACTGATACTACTACTACTCCTACTACAGGAGGGTCCAATCTGACTGACATGAGCGCTATACAAGAACCCACTATTATTATTATTATTATTACTAATGTACTACTACTACTACTACTACTACTACTACTAATGCTACTACTACTAATGCTACTACTGCTACTTCTACTACTATTACTACTACTACTACTACTACTACCTACTATTTCTACTTCTACTACTTCTTCTTCTACTACTACTGCTACTTCTTCTACTACTTCTGCTACTACTGCTGCTACTACTACTACTGCTACTGCTACTACTGCTAATACTACTAATTATATTGCTACTACTACTACTACTACTGATAATACTAATAATAAACTAGTAAAAATCATACTAATATTAATAATGATAATAATAATAACAATAACAATAACAATAACAATAATAATAATAATAATAATAATAATAATAATAATAATAATAATAATAATAATAATAATAATAACAATAATAATAGACCCACTATTACTACTACCACGACCACTACCACTCCAACATCTATTTCGGATAACCCGCAGGATCTAAACACTATTTTATCTGTTGTAAAATACTACAAAGGGCTTTCCATCATCATCATAAACCAAGCAATTTATCAAAATGTCCTTTTCAATACCTCCAGGTTTTATTCGTACTCAATAAGACCTTTCCGACTGCAAAGCCCGCTTGCGTGAAATTTAATAATGGACTCTTCTACACGAAGTACATCCGCGTGAGTGATTCAATTCCGTATTCGATTTTAACCGCCAGCATGTTCTACTTATTTCCTAAAATGGTCAATCGCTTCAGTCTTCATCTCATCGGCGTAACGGCACTTTTTAGCGATTCTTTTGGGATTAAAGCACTTTGGGGGATGTTACTGGAGAAATCTTGACTCTCAAATGGAGCACGGGCGTTGATAGGAATATGTAGTCTTGTGTATCTTGACTCTTAAATAGAGGGTGGTAGTTAGTTGATGAGTAACCTATGTCTATCTCAAGGCAGTCGTGTTTTTTCAGTTATACTCTGCTTCCTTGTCGCCCACTTGGGGGTACGTGTGAGCTTAAAATTTAAATGCGAAAACAATAATATCAGACAACTGTTGACAAAGAGCTCTTTCCGAATTCAAAAGATATATATATTCTTTTAAAGATGTGCCCCTGGACAGTGGCGGATTCAGGGGGGGGGGGCCGCCCCCCCCCTTGAGAAAAAAAATCATGTAAAAACTCGTGATTTTTACCTTTTGGGGGGGGGGGGTTGCCCCCCCCCCCCCTGGCGCTCAAGGGGGGGGGGGGAGGGGCTGCAAATTTTTAAATTTGCGAGGACCAAAAAAAAAAAGTGCTCACTACCCCCCCCCCCTCCCCCTCCCCCCTCCCCTAAGAAATCCTGGATCCGCGCCTGCCCCTGGATGCCGCATTGGCCCCTATATACGCCTGAATTCTTAACCATGACTCATTCTAGTTCACCGTGGGAGATAAGTAGTTCATTACACTTTAATGTGGCAACCTTTTCTTGCTGTTGCATAGCAGCCAAAGTATATTCATATACTATCTCTTTTTAAATAATTCAAAGACTTGCTCGGTACATCTTGACAACCACTTCATTTTGATACGGAAAAATACTCATGCGTGCAGCGCCTCTCACTGCCCCCGCCCCCGTCCATAGACATAATCATATTCAGTACAGGTCTAATCTAAATTTCGAGTATTTCCATAGCAAAATACTAAACTTAAAAAAAAAAAAACGTATATCACTCCTAAAGTTGTAACCATCATGTATCATGTGAATATATACAGTATGTGCATCTCAATACCTTCAACAAAATTCTCAAAACTCACCCTTTCTGTTAATTACAAGAGAGTAAAGCGCACTTGAACACGACTTTTTGTATATTAAAGGAATATGCCCTCTATATAATTATTATCATTAAACCTGCTTGCACCGTGTACACCATCAATCTTAATATTCTTTCGATTCTCTTCTTGCTAATGTAATATTCTTTTCTACACGATCCGATGTCTCTCCGTTTTCTTGTTGATAAAATTATGTTCCTGTTTTAAAGATGTCCTCTACCACATTCCAAATTAATACAGCATGGATTTCATTTTTCTTTCTTGAATATGTTGTAGACCTAGTCATCAGTGTTGGAATTCCATGGACGGTATAAACACCGAATTAATTAAGCCATGACGTGGGTAATCTCCAGCACTCATTAATTACATGGATACCTTCCTGGATCAATCTTCTCATCCATCTTCTCTTTGTCTCAGGAAATTTTATGACATCAATATCGCATATGGTAGCAGACAACATAATCAAGCTAGGAAATTTACTGCGGTTCTCTTAACATTGCAATATATCATACCACCGCTGCTCTCTTAACCTACTGCCTCCTGGAACAGATTGGCTTCTGTTCTAAGTTTATGGGAATGAAACAATTCAGTAGTCAACGGATTAACATTGTTATATATCATATCACCGTTGTTCTCTTCACATTTTGTTCTATCATATTTCCACCTTTCTTTTCTCGCTGTTGTTATAATGTAGGGGAAAGATGCATCACTTAATATGAGACCATGCAGGGGATTGTCTTACATTATAGTCTGTAAATAGACCAGACTACTTAGTATTGTGTTTGGAAATATTGATGCCATAACTAATTCAAATGATTTACTATCATTATCTCTTATAAGTTTAAATTAAAGATAATATATAAAGCGCAGAAAGCTCTTAATATTATATTTTAGAGATGTTTCAGATTTTTAGAATGTCGATATACAGCCACTTCCTATAAATATTTGAAAGAGCATATACCTAGAGATAGAGCTCTAGAAATAGCTTGTTTTCTTCCTTCTTTTTCTTCCTTTCCTTTATTTTCATATTTCTCATGTTACATATACATTTCAAAATAAAGTACAAGTTGTTTTTGTGCGTGATCAATAACAATACATAATAAATAACATAAAGATAAGTGGTCAATATAGAGTACTGATTAAATGAGAGAAATGATGATGGGACCTACATGAAAGCAAGTTTGTAAAGCTTCAATATAAGAATACAGTTTTTAGGTTGAAAAGAAACTGATAGATATTTCAAGTTGTTTGAAATCTAACCCATGATCGTTACGGGTGTTTGCTGATAGGAAAGCTTTACCCAAGTATGCGTGGCATTGCTCTTATCGCCTCATCATGCTCATGGTGTATTCATGGGAATATCTCCCAGTCAATAATGATAGGGAAAATATTCTAAATATTTGTTTGTTACTACTTGTGACTTTGTGTTTTATCTTTACAGAATAAGCAACCGATTAAAGACCACCCGACTAGAGCTTGATACCATCGCAGACTGACCTACTCCTACGCCTCTCCACCAAATACCACTTTGGTTAGTATACCGTGTCTTCATGAATGAGGAGGACTTGTTCATCAGTAAATGTTTTGCAGAGAGTTCTTGATCAACGCATCTTCATGATTAAAAACGGCAAGGAGCAACAATCAAAATCCAACAATCTACTTTGCAGAATAATTTAAACAGCTGAAAACAGCTTAATTCATGTTTTTTTTATTTTTTATCAACTTTAAGATTAAAACGAGAAAAGCTTGCTACCAGGACCAATCAGCTGAATTTGATAAGACATGCATGTAAATATTCAACATCTTGATGAGATTCGTTTTGGTTCGTACTTCAAGATGAGATTGGTGATGCTCTTGAATGGGTCAAGAAGGTTATCGGCATTCAATCCATTCCTTCCTCATTCTCTAAATCCTATCGGCTACATGGAATCTTAAAATGTCACTTTAGATGATCCGTGTAAACCTAGATATAAATCCAGCTGTCAGATTGATTTTCTTTCCTTCTGTCGATCGCCAAGCAAGCAGTTGACGACGAAAGAAACAAGATGATTCGAGCAGAAAAATAGCCATGCTATATGAGTGCTTATTGATGAAGAGTTCTAAATGACGAGTTGGGTCGCATTCATCCTTGAATGGTTGTCTTCGATGGGAGATGGGGGTGCTTGACAGAGGAAGAAGTTTGTCTCTTTCATAGATCAACTGCTTTCTGAAACACGATCATCACTACCATATTTCTCATTTTATGATGATATTACGTGATTCGCCGATTTCTTCACATTATCGCGGTAAATGGATTTCATCAAAAAGCTGTCAGTGAACGTTTTAAAGTAACTTTGATCGCTCATTCAATTTTTTAGTCTCAAACTGAAATCACTACATGATCAGTGACTATTGTTGATAAACACCTATCATATCGATTCATTGCGATTGTTAGAGGTGAATTTACGTCAATGGTCGACATCCGTGCATGATGTGACCAATCAGAGTTCGGTTTTGAAATCACGTGACTAGTTGTAATGATATTAACCTTGTTTCGTGTGTTCGTGCTTGTGAAATCATCCTACACATCTATCGATAATTACAAGAACGTGGCGGAGTCTGGAATAAAACATTCCTCTTTTCTTGGAATTAATTGCGATATTAGAGTTCATGTCATGGATCAATCGCGTTTCCTTATCGAGATAATAGAGCATAACATGAGATGAGAGTGGACGACCATTTACCATTGAACGTGCAACTACATGCTCTAGCTTTCAAACCATCGTATTATGCTTGCCAAAGATCAGATATCCTTTATTCAGGAAACAAGCTTTCTCATGTTGATCTTTTTCGATTTATCTTTTATCATTTATTTTCATTCGGGAAGCAAAACTCTAAAATGTAGGAAAGCGAATACATTTTAACTAAAATACTGGAAATAAACACATATCAGTTGAGAAAAGCATCAAATACTTATTTTACTCTGTAAGATCCCTTTCTGCTGCAAGAATGTGTGATGATCAGTTTAGGACTTGAGCTCCTTGCAATTTGATTAACTGACTTAAAATGAGAATGTTACTGTCTTTAAGTCGACCTTTTGGTCGCAGTTTAGGGCGTAGAATTGTGATGCAACTGATTTCTATCGGATGTTTGTTTATGTTAATATGTCTTCATCTTCAGTATGAGTTTACCAACAGAGCAGCAGCCTCATCGCGATTAAATCGGCATTCATCTTTATCAAATCAAAGGAATTATGAGAAACGTTTCCCAACTGATGACGATGAAAGACTAATTTTTAACGATAAAACAGCGAGACGAGAACGGATGCGGACTCGAAGAGATGAGGAGGATGATAATGACGATATAGACTTGTTATATATTGATATCATTGACGAGCAAAAGAATTCTGGAGGAGTAGGAGGAGCCATTGAGAGAAGTGGTATGTTGGAGGAGAGGGGTAATAAAGGAGGCTCAGGGGTGCAGTACCAGCTTGGTAGAAAGGCCTTATTATCAAAGAGGATTTCATCCATTGGAGATGAGTATGCGGCGGAGGTGAGTTTAGATTCATTCTATTTCTGAGGGAGGGGTTAACAATATAAAGTACCAAGGTACCAAGATTGTAAATGTTATATTGGAAGAAAATGTATTACCCCCTCCCCCCCCCCCCCCCGAAAAAAAGGAGGCATATGGCTGTGCTGTGCTTTTGAAGTTTCCACTTGTGTTGTACGATCAGAATTCTCCAGCGTTCTTTAGACCAGGCTTCTCATAATAAAATATGATGAATTATTAATGTCCTGCCTATAATATTTTCCCAATACTTAAAAAACGAACTGCCGACCGACTAGGCTAGCATGAGTTTGCCTACTAAGCAAACAATCCGCCGTTGTTAGGGTGTATTTTGTTCCATCCCCTTTCGAGTGAATACAAAGGCGGTTCTGAGTTGAGAGTAAAATCAAGGTTCAACTGGGTGTTACGTCTTTATCATAAAGTTGTTCAACATAGTACTTCAGAATTGTGTGTTTGTTTTGTCTCGTACATGTAAACACAGATAATGCAATGTGTGTGGGCAGGCAAGCGTTCGTACCGCTGCTTATATGAAAATTATAGGAAAATGCTTCTTTGAAATGTATGCGTGTTTTATTATGAATTTGCCTGTTTGCTAAAGAACGTTTGATATTCTTTAATACATAACTACATAACTACATTGAGCTAGTGATACTTTACAATTAATGGAACAAGAGAATATAAAAAGATGGAATAAATAAAGGTTCTGTATTTCTCATTTCAAATTGACGGTATATTAATTAGTATTACGATGTTGCATACACTCCTCATATAGTGTATCCACTATCCAGAGAGTCTGATGTAGAATAATGAAGTATGCCTACAAGGATTTACCCAATACGTATTGGGCGTTCTGTGGTAATAAAGGTGTGTTTTACATAAAATGTACATGTATATACGGGAAGATTAAATAAAACGCCGTTTGAGAGTACAGTATTTATTGGTTAGTTGGACTAGACTGTACCCAGTCTCGTATCAAGCATCAATAAGAGGTCTAATATAACATGGTAGTATAGGTCCATAATTATAAGCATGATGTGCTGTGAAGCAGAAGAATTTCAATTAGTTATTTGAGGCGATAACATTCGAGTGGTAGTAATTATAAGCTAACGATTGTGCCGAAAGGTGTCGAAACGAGAGAGTAAGCGAATTAATTAACTGAATAAATCAAAACACCTGCGGTTTTATTTGAAGTGCCGCTCTATAATAGGAATGGGGAAATAGAATAGAATAGGAAGATAGAAGGGGAGGTAGGGAGAAACTGAGCAAGAGAGATGGAGAGAGAGCTCTAGGGGGGGGGGGGGGAAGGGAGGGAAGGAAAGAGAGACAGAGAGAAAGAATGACTGAATAAGAGAGAGAAAAAGAAAGAAAGAAGAAAAGGAGAGAGAGAGAGAGAGAGGGGGAAGGAAAGAGAGACAGAGAGAAAGAATGACTGAATAAGAGAGAGAAAAAAAAAGAAAGAAGAAAAGGAGAGAGAGAGAGAGAGAGAGAGGGGGAGGAGGGGGAGGAGTGTTGGCGATTTTATAATGTATTTTTTCTTCATTCCTTCAGTGAGAATCTATTTATAATTATAGTCGGAATACTAATTTACAGAAATATATAAGTAATTCTATATTTGTTCTTTTATTGCCTAGTGAGAGAGAGTCAGAGTAAAATAAATTTGGTACAAGATTGACATTATTTTCTCTTCCTTTCATATAAATGCCTTTCTGTGTCTACAATACATGTTTTAATTCATGTGAGTAACGTAAATGCCATTATTTTCCTGATAGTTAGAACCTCTCTCCTCCTCTATTCTCTCACACTAAAAACGAAAATGATGTACATGAATGTTGATTGAGAATTTGAGATATGTGAGAATAGCAATTTCAAATAAAATAAATATTGTGTAGTTTTGAGGGATATAAAAAACTAAGAATTTTTGAATGTTTTTTGCTCGCGAAGCATTGCCAAGTGCATTATACGAAAAAACGTCTTGGGCCTCAACAGTACAGGTACATCGAGTAATACACATGACTGATGCAAGTTTCTGTTCTGCCTGAAAATCTCCAAATAATCATTTGAAAAGATCTGTCCACCGTGCATTTACTTTCATTTATACTTTTTATAAGATTTTTATCAATGTAGGGTGAAACGTTAAGGTTACGTTATCTTGACAATTCCGACACCTGTAGAGAAGGAACGTGCTTAGCAAGTATGAAACATGACTCCATCGCTCTTGACCTTATAGAGTCAAATCTACACAAAGGCAGATCGGGAGTGAAGGAGTGAAAGGAAGCAAACCCAGAGGCTAGTGTTCTATACTGGTCAAGAACTAATGTCCAGTCTGAGGGTCAATAGCATGGTCTGGTCTGGTCTGCTTCTAACTATCAGGTCATATACACACTTAGGTGAAACGCAAAAATCTACTCAGGTTCCCCCCCCCTCCCTACATGTTAATAGGCCTTCTTTGCAGAGATGGACAGCGTGTTGCATGAAATACTCAAATAAAATGTTGAGTTATTATCTTTCGTCTGTTGGACCAGGGAGTGCCCTGTAGAGGTACCATGTACTGTACATGTAAGTACACTACTGTGGATACCTGATCACTAGCTTTCACAAACATTCACAATCTACCATTCTTCGCTCAGTTCACGAAAGCAATAGCTCCCTTTGTAAAATCAAACCTGATTTATTTCCATTTCATTCTTGGATACGATCTGCCTACAAATCCCTGTTGCCAGGTCGTCTATCTAGATTACTCTTCTTATGAAACGAGTTCTACCCGTTTAAAAGCAGTACAAATTCAAATCTTACTCATAATAATGGCCATACTGATCCGGTCAATAATCACACTCTGCTTCTATTGACATCACAAGCATATGGGAGTTATGTTCTCTAAACATTAGTATTGTAAGCATGTTCATTCCTGAAGACATAATACCTCCTAAACTCAGAAACTCAGAAACCATGTTTGAGCCATATTTGTTCACTACTACTGTCACTACTAGACGTAGTTTAAATGTAATAATTGGTATATATTAAACCTTATCCATCCAATATGATTGTAATTCTCTTCAAAAGGCTTTTATTTTCTCTTCCGGTAGATCACTGGAAGATTATTAACCAGACATGTTCGCTTCACATTAAAAAATCCCCCACACGATAAAATAGACATCTATATGTTAATTTACTTTATACCTGTTGCTTTCAAGGTAATGCGAGGAGGAAAAGAACCCGTTGAGATGGTAATGATTTATAAGACAGTTTTATTAGGTGCATTCACTAACTAGTGTATTATATATACAGAGAAAAAGGAGTAGGTCGCAAGAACACAGAACACGTTCAACGTGTTCTGTGTTCTTGCGACCTACTCCTTTTTCTCTGTATATATAATACACTAGTTAGTGAATGCACCTAAGGGGGGGGGGGGGTAAATATTAACACACCTGCATGTGAAAGACACAATTATAGACGCCCTCAGATGACGAAGAGTGGTGAAAGACAGGGAAGAGAGAGAGAAATGGGGAGAGAGAGGGAGATATATATATATCTATATATATATATACAGGGAGAGAGAGAGAGAGAGAGAGAGAGAGAGAGGGAGGGAGAGTGATAGAAAGAGGTGGAGGAATTAATGAAAAGACAGCCGCCTGCCCGCTGTTTCCAATATCTCACATTACGGGTCAGCAAAAATTCACCCCCAACAGACATACGATATTATTGTCATATTTCACTGTTCATTCTGAATCAGTGTTTCAATTCTGATAAATTTGTCATTTCCCTAATAGAACCTTGTTAACATTACTTGTCCATTGCCATTACCATATAACATCCTTACAAATTCTCGTTTAGAAGTGTAGCTTTACTAGTTATATTTGTTGACCTCGACTGGTTAAACATGCTGATGTCTGGTCTGAAAATATGCAAATACATAGGCCTACTGACTTGGGAATATGAGTATTAATATCAGTCTATTTGGGCCTATACATCAACGAATAATCCACTGTTGGATCTAACTATATGTATCATGGTATATTTACAAAAATGCAACCTGCTATTAAAATCTAACCCCCATAAAAGTCGTCCAAATCATCTTGTGCCATTAGTGACATTACAGCAAACAGTGCAAAGCTTTATGTATGTATTATCATACATAGGTAGGAAATACCTAAAAACAAAACACAACCTTTCAAAATTCATATAGCCATTGCTATACAATCATGTTAGACATATCCAGCGGTATTAGATGTGATATGGTATTATGTGATATTATGAATGTTATTATTAGCTCATACTGATAATGATTGTATAGAACCCATATTCATCTTCTAAAGTCAGTATGTATTTGTATGTCAAGTGACCTTCGGCTACTATGTTACCGTGATCCTATAAACATACAAAAACAGTCATATTTACGATTTTGTTCACAATTTTCATGTAATATAATAACGTTAATAAATTGCGTTTTTTTTAGTGTGTTTGAATGGTTATGGTTGTGATGTGGTGTATACAACCCCTCACAGCTTCACATGTGCGAACCATACTGCCTTGGAATCTCGTTAATATTGAACTCTTACAAGGAGGAGACACACAAAGCCACAGCGTGAAGCTAATCAACTCTCTATAGGTTACACGCCTAGTCACAATCAAACAGTTAAAGGGAACTACGATGCTAAATTAATACAAAATATTATCGACAATTCAAATGTGATGCCAAATACCTTGTTTAGATTCATATAGCCTCACGTGTCCCATTGCACTTCCAAACTACCTTTCTTCTCCTTCATCACCCGAATCGATAAGCCGTAGTGGCTGCTAGGTTTAGATAATGATGATGAACAATACATTTAATACAGATCCTTTAAAATTATATTGAAATAACAAAATAATCTCCAATATTCCAACTGATAATGACATATATCTTTTGCAATTCTGTTTTCATTCGACTGTAAGTAATTCTCTGAATCTAAAATGAAATTCAAGCGATCAGAACATTACATAATTAT